ACATTCGATTACAGAAAGACCAGCAGCTCCGTTTCAAGCTCCTAGGAAAGGGAGTTATAGAAAAAGTCCCAGTCAAAGAAGAATTTGTTGCCTATTCCAGGTTATTCCTGGGAGGAAAAAACGGATCGTACGTCAGATGTATAGCACATTGGAAACTCTGAATAGAAACAGTTTCATAAGTAACCCATATCCTAAAACAAGGAGAAGCAATCCCCTCATTAGACCCAAAAGACGCTTGGTCCTGATGGACATTGCATCAAGGTAATTCACTTTTATGTCAGGTCAGTTTCAGTTCAACGCACTTCCATTTGCTCTGTCAACAATTTCAAGAATATTTACACAAATCCTACTGCCATTGGTCTCCTATCTCAGACAACAGGGATTTGCACTTATTCTATATCTAGACTATTGGCTCTAAAAGGCAAACTCAAATGAGAAGCACTACATGAACATTCAGCTGACAATCTGTACTCTCGAGACTCATGGCTGGATCAGAAGTTGGAAATCAATCTGAACTCTTAAATGCATCCAGAATTTCATTTCTGGAATGGATATAGATTCAAGAGAAATGAAAAAAAGTGCTTTTAACAAAAGAACAAAGATTTAAAAAATAGCAGTTTCTGAGCTTCAAAATAATCATATGTACTCTATAAGATGATCATTCTGGGCCGTTTAACCTCAACTATACCATCTGTAAAATGGGCAAGAGCAATAGTGAGCCCACTGCAATTCACAAGCCTAGTCAAAAGATACAGAAGACTTAGACACAAGCATGACAATGTCACCAGATACACTGTTACTTCAAAATTGCTGGAAGGAATAGTTTCATTACAGCAGGCCTGTCCTTCACACAAAAACATTGGATTCGAATCACAGCAGACACCTCGGACATGGGATGGGGTGCTCATATGGGCTCTCACATTAGAAAATAAAAATGGAACTCCATAATACACCAAAAATTGTCTTTGGCTATCATTCTAGCTCCAAAGTATTTCAGCTACAAATTCATCAGAAACCTGTTCAACTACAATCCGACAACACCATGACAGTGGCATACATAAACAGACAAGGAGGTACAAGAGCAAAAACATAGAATTATGCCAACAAATCTATCAGACATAACCTCTATTCATATCAGAGAAATAGACCATATTGTGGCAGTGTAAAATAGAAACAGAGTGGTCCCTGGCCAGGGAAATATTCACCTTGGTCATAGACCAATTTGGCATGACGGTAATAAATTTGATGGCCACCAGACGAAAAATCGGAAACTTCACTACACAAGCAAGATTTTCCAGACTATCTGGATACTTTCTCTATAACGTGGCATTTCAGACTGGATATCAAAGATTTTGGTCATCCCAATTATCCTCCAAAGGATTTGCCACAAAAGAGCTCTGATAGTGGCCATCATACTCCATTGGCCAAACAGGAGCAGGTTCTTGGAACTCCTGGAAATGGCAGAAGAGAATCAGACAGCTTCCTATAGGTCCTCAGCTACTGAACAACAAGTTTACACTACAAACTCTTCTAATGTTCAAACTCACGACATGGCTTCTGTGAGGGTGATTCTGGAAAGACAGGACCTTTCTAAACAAAATACACATTTAAGATGTATTTCCAGATATGGAATAGATTCCTCCTATGGTGCAGTAAAGAAGTTTGCGATGGTTTGAATCCTACCATTTTTGAGATATGGTTTTAATAAAGGTTGAAATGTCTCCACCCTTAAAGTGCAAATCCGGTCTATCGTTTCTTGCTTCAAGATTTAGCTTCTCACATCCTTATAAGGAGATTTGTTAAATTAATTTGGTAGTTACATCTTCAACAATTAATTATTTTTCCGACTTGGGATCTATCTTTAGTCCTCAGCGCATTATGCAAGAGTCCTTTTGAATCTTTTCAAAAGGTTTCCCTAATGATTTTTATAAAAATCTCCTTTCTAATTGCTATCACTTCAGACAAAAGAGTGGGGGAGGTTTTATCGGCCTCTGAAAAATATACACCATTCTCCATCATGACAAAGTAATCATGCATTTAAAGTCTTCTTTTCGCACTAAAGTGCAAATAACATCGACCAGTTGCACTACCTGCATTTTATCCAAATCCATTTTCACCGAAGGAAGTAAAACTTCACTCCTTGGATGTTAAAAGGGCTATTCAAACTTATCTGATCAGAGAGGCTTCCTTTAACAGATCAGACAATCTTCTGATCAACTTCAAAGGTCAAGCAAAATGTAAAGTGAAATCTAAGGTCACTATTGCTTTGATTACCATAAAGTGTTCATATGAAAGATGGGGTATAGATCTACCAATGCAATCAAAGCTCATTCTACTTGTGCAAGGGCAACCACATAGGCAGAGAGAGAAAGCACTCCTCTCTAGAAGATATATGGAAGACCACCATATTGGCGTCCTTCAAGGATTTATCAAGCTCTACACGATCTTGCAAAGTCCTTTTTGGTACTGCAGCTAAAAGTAGGGAAATGAAGAAATTTTACTTACCCCCCCCAAAAAAATGTCCCCCTATAGAATTAGCAGCAGTACATAACTTTTCTCCCTTTTCATTAAACTTATTTTTGCAAGAATCTGGTGTTTTGCTAGTTATTTTTTATTTTATTTTTTAATTATTATTACTGGCAGCCTTTCTCAATTTAAGGTGTTTTGAGAACAGGTGGAACCTACTTTTAACTCTGCAGGTTACCTGTCTCCATTGATGAACATCTATTTTATTGTATAACTGCCGCTTTTACTATTGAAAAAATAACTTACTGTAAGTAAAATTTCTTGTTTTTCTTTTCATTCTCAGAAATGGCGGCCGTATTGCATGAGGTTTGAGAAGGAAGTAGAAGACTTTAACTATGGAACTTTATTGAGGTTGGACAGCAGCAAAGACTATACAGAGGAGAATACCATATTTTGTGAGTGTGAACCTTCATTAAATGATATACGTTAGAAATATTTCAAACTGGAACACAAAGCTGGGTAAAACATACCCATGTAGCAATAAGTGCTTCAAGGGAAAATATAGTGCCAGGAAAACTAGTTTTACTGCCGCTATAGCTTTCCCCTACTTGGAGGCCCCACTGCTTTCAAGTAGCACAGCAGGTTATTTTAGGCAACACATTTTGAGCCATGTTGTATCATTTTTAAATAGTTATGTTGCCACTTTACCTCATGAGGTGCTGGAATTAACCCCTTAAGGACCAAACTTCTGGAATAAAAGGGAATCATGACATGTCATGTGTCCTTAAGGGGTTAAACATTGTGTTGCATTGTTTCTGGTCATACTTGTTATACGCAAAAGTATTCATGCAAAGTGCAGGAATTATGTTATTTATTCTACAGTAAAAAGTTTAAAAGTTTGTTTTTATCCTCTTTCTCTTCTGGATATAAGGAAATAAAGGGATTTTTTTTTTGCTTTGAACAGTTTGTGTTTACCAGGTATACATTTTGAAGTGTGTGAAATACTGGACACATCAATTCTTGGCCCACTAAATACCGTGGCTATAAATACTTTCACTTGTGTTCATTTGATGGGCCTTATCCCCAAGTCTTCGATCTCTAAAATACTGTCAGGTGTATTCACTAAAATGTGAATATTTGCATTTTTTTTATTTTTTTAAAGCCATGTTGACAACATAGATGACTTGGATAATTTTTTAAATTTGAAACAATGTTCTAAAACTGTAATTTACGGAGTACCCCTAGTAAGTCGTTCTGAGATATACATGAGAGCCTTTGAGGTTGTAGGCTCACATGTCTAATTACTGCTGTGCCACTTGGCTAATATTAAAATTTTATGTGAAAAGTATTTACTAAACAGTGAAGTGTAATGAATGTAATACAAGTGAATTGACATTTTTTCCTGTTTGTATCTTTTGGATGAAAAGATGATCTTTGAATAACACCTTCAGCCAAGAGTGCCCTGGTGTCCCTTATTGTAAGTGGTCAGTTTTTAAACAGTTTGACTTCTTTACCTGGACGGCTTTGCTCATTGGTGGAGAACAATTACCTCTAACAGTAGTATCTGCTTCTAGTAGAGATGGTAGTGAAGGTGAGGATGTGTTCAGGGGATCTGGGTAAGAAATCAGACTGTTCAAAAATCAGTCCCCACAATGGTGGGGTGGTAGGACTTGCTCGGGAACTTGCTGTAGTGGTTAGGTGCTTGGAGTGTTCCTTTAATCATTTGATCCTGAAACCACAGAACAAGTACACTACCAAAAGGTAGAGCAAAAATTGCCATGCCTATTTTTACATTTTTTTTTTTTATACTTTTCCTTCAATTAGTTTATAAGTAGTTTTGTCAGGAAATAGTTACGATGGTGTTTGTGTGAGAGACTATTAGTTATGAATGTAGCTAGTATTTGACATGTATGAATATTCTACATTTGGTGTTTGATTACTTCACTCTGTGTATTTCATATTAATGAAAATGTTTGGCTCTTTGATTGTAAGAAGATCTGTAAAGGTTTTGTATAGCATATGAGGTAAAATCTCTTCTTTTTCTTCTAGCAACCAGAATCCAGTTTTTTGCCATTGAGATTGCACGGAACAGAGAAGGGTGCAATGATTTGGTTTTTCAGCATAAAAAATCCAGAGGCATAGAGTGAAATGGTCGGAAGTATTTCAACAGAAAGTACAGACAATGTGGTTAAATGGGAAAATATAAAGCTCTTCTGTTTTTTTCTTCAGTGCCTCAAAACATATTGGTCATGTTGCTCCAAGCGGTCATTCTAATTTGTTGTGCAGTAGTAGTAACTTTCTTCTAGTGTTAACCTTTTATTTATGCTTTGGCATCCACATTGGTAAATACTGACCATTCGGAAGCTTTCAGGTTCCTACAGAACTAATCCAAAATAAACTAATTTGTACAGCTATATTTCCAGTAAAATTACATATGGTGTAGATACACTTTTTGCTCAGTAGGTCAACTTTTCACGACTAAGCTTCATTAACACTCTTGATTTACGCTGCAGCCAGTGAATTTTTAAAAAAAATTTTTTTAAATACAGTCTGGTTATAATTAAAAGAACAATATAGGCATCAACAAATTTCTTAATGAAGCTGTTTCAGTGTATAGATCATGTCCCGCAGTCTCACTGCTCAATTATCTGCCATCTAGGAGTTAAATTACTTTTGTTTCTGTATATTCAGCCCTAGTCAAACGTACTCTGATTCTCACAACCTGCATAAAAAAGGGTTTCAGTAAGATGTTAACTTGCTTTAGATGTTTTTATTTCCTGCTTTGCAAACTGAACTTTAATTACACAGAGGAGGCTCTCATAGAGTCTAGAAGGCTATTAACAGAGCAAGAGATAAGAAAATATAAATTAAACATAATGTGCAATAAAGGAATCCAGAATATCTAGCTTCCTTTTCAAGTAGTGTGTTTAGGAAGGCTGCGTCAGTCACATGAAGGGAGATGTGACTAGAGCAGTATAAACAAATATATTTAACTCTTAAATGGTAGAGAATTGAGTGAGACTGCAGGCCCATGATCCAGCCACCAAAACTGCTTCATTAAGATAATGTTTTGGTGCATATAGCGTCTGTTTAACCCCTTAAGGACACATGACATGTGTGACATGTCATGATTCCCTTTTATTCCAGAAGTTTGGTCCTTAAGGGGTTAAAGATAAATGTTTTATTATTAGACTCTGCCCAGTGAGATCCTGTTTCAATATCTAACCACCTGTCTTAAAACAAAGCATTCCACTGATGCATAAGCAGAACAGTACCCCAGTGCTACCCGTTTTATTCTGTGCATGCTAGCCTTTTGTTTGTCCACTTCAGTCATTGAACGGAGGGCTACTTTTTTTTTTTTTTAAAAGCTATGAACAACGTAGCTAATATCAGAAAGTAGCAGAGCAACAGAAGTATAATATAATAATCTCAGGTTTACATTAATTCCATTACAAAAAAAAAAAAAAGTATGCTTACAGATAAACCATAAGAGGATATGAGTCTAGAAGGCAAATTCCTTTTGATTCCTAGTACATGCTTTCAGTTGTCCTACCTACCATATTTTTACTACTCTCAGAGCTATTGGGTTTTCTGTGAGAGGATTATGAAAACAGATAAGCAAATGTTTGTGTTGTGATTACAGCTAGAATAAGGTTAGTAGTCCAGTTAAAGCAGAAACTGGTCTGTCTTTACACTACAAGGGTTCATCATAAGCCTTTTCTAAGCCTATGCATGAAAACTGATTCCACTGTTCCAGAATCAATGTTGATACATGCTGTCAAAAAGGAATGGCTCATATCTTTATTAAATACTTATGCTTCACTGAAATTACAGCACAATCCAAAGATACCATAAGACAATGTAGGGACTACTTTGTCTTGTCTGGTAAACTTTAATTCAGTGTCAGCAGCTGTCACAAGTGATGGCTGTGGTGTTAAGGCATCATCTCTCTTATTACAAAGTGTGATCGGTAGATGCTGCTGTGGGTTTATAGACCTTAGTGTCCACAGCACTGATGCTACTCCTGGCAAATGATTCACCAGAAGTTGAAAAGGGTCAAATGAAAGAAGATGGCAACAGTTATATGGAACACCTTCGGGTAAGTATGCCTGGAGCATCCATTTGCTTTAAAGTGTTTATGCTTAAAATAAGATGGCAAGAAAAAAATATTTAAATCCAGAATACAGTCATGAATAGGTGTCTCTGACACAAAATTTAAACTGACAGGTCTACCAATAAATAAAATCATCCTGCTGTACCAATTTCCTTAGTCTCATAAAGGAACCCCAGGTGAAATGTGCAGAGCCTAGAATGGCTCTGCAATCTGTGAGTTTATATTTCTCTTTTTCAGCGTAAGGTATAAAGATTACATTATTTAGTGTGTGTCTTATCTTTCTAGATAACCAAAAAGGGGAAGAATTTTTTTTATATATATATTTATATATATATTTATTTTTTTTCCTCATGAGGTTCCTGCTCATAAAAATTAAGTATCACTGCACATTATATGGGGTATTGTTTGATGTGTTATATTGCACACGCTTAAAAAGAGTCACTAGAGGCACCAGTTGCAGATCAATAAATAAGCAGAACCATTAAAGGCCCTGGACCAGATATCTTCACGATGATAAATTAATGACTTCTGTTCTTGTTCTCCATTTAACACAAATGTTCAACCATATTAGACACTGGGCTAATTGCACCATAAATGTTAGAAGCCATGATAGAAACTCTTCAAGAACCCCCTCCCCTCCAAATGCTCTAAGCATCTGTCCAATCTCATTGCCAAATTCAGACACAAAACTATAATTGCTAGCATCCAATCTCAATACTTTACTGCCTGACCAAAAACAATCTGGTTTGGCCCAGGCAATCAAGCATCTGACAACAGCATGAGAATGTTAAACCTCCTAGAAATAACGTGCACCTCAATCAAGGGCTTTCTCCTAGCGTAAGATGCAGAGACTACAGTTACACCACTCCACAATTTCGATCCCACCTTTCATACCTGAGAGTGCTTAAGGCCTTATATGCTCCGCCCCCTCAATTAAGGTCTTAAACTCAGGCTTCTTCTCACCACCATTCCAAATTACCAATGGTACAAAGCATGGCTGTCCACTATACCCTTTCATCTTTATTTTGGCTCCGAAGCCACTAATATTCAAAATTAAACATCCAAACATAAAGCTACTGCACACATGGCACCCACCTTATTTAGCTCAAATACATACCCTAAAGCTCTTAACCCTTGACTTTCAACAGCAGGGATTAAGAAAATCAATTTAGACCTCAATTGGCATTGCTTTACTACCTAACAACTGAAGAAATATTCCCATTTCTATGTAAGCAACATACTTTGGAATTTCAGAAAATCCAGCCTCCAAACCTACAGGACAAACCATATTGAGCAAATAATTTCATACCACAAATCATGCTCCAGGTTGCAACAAGATCAGCGGGGAAGCTACCCAATTTAAGTAAATGGTAAAAAAAAAAAAAAACTACACCAAACTTTCTTGTTAGCAACTTGGCAAAAGGTGATGTTACAGATGTACAAAACTTCAAAAATGCACAAAAGGAGCAGAAAATTGATTTTGGAATGGTACCCTCCAGATTGAAACACTTATACCCACATACATCTGATACATAAAAACAAACCAGTTAGATGTGAGTTATATACCCAGATCTATACTAATTGTGTGAGTGGAGCACTACATGCAAAGAGGATATATACTTACCCTAAAAAGAGTGTTGAACTCAGGTGTAAAATGAGTACATATCAAGGAAATAGAATAAAACAGTGTAAATCCAAAAAATGTACTTTAGAGGTATAACACACACATATCAACTGTAGGGGACAGGCTCAAATCATATCAGCGTTCGTGTCGTAGGTGACACTGCACCCTTTCTTGTCCAGAATTGGTATCCTCACGAGACAAGATGAACTTTCTAGAGAAGTATGTTCTAATGCTTAGAGATACATATAAGTGCTGGTGGTTTTGCTCACCTTTTGTAGAGCAAATATGACCTGGCTCTGAGTATGTAGACCTAGGTGCCTATAGAGGGGTTACCATCCCTTCATTATTTATTTATTTATTGACAGCATTAGAAGGGCCTACATGAAATTAGGCAGATGGTTTTAATGTTGTGGCTGATAAATATATGCTTCTGGATTAGCAGAGAGAAGAACTAATAAAGTCCTAAAGAACTTTAAAATACTCAATATAGTCCAAGCCACATATTAAGCAAGAGCAGATTTTCCTACAGTGTTGGTAAACAATTACAGGATTCCAGTGTGGTCCCTAAATTTCCTACTTATGTTTATTTTGCATTTGTACCTTTAAATAACCTAACAGCCCTGCATTTGTTAAAGATAGGGACATTGCAATTTGCTATAAGATCTTGAAAGGTCGGTTTGTTGTGGAGTATATTCTTGTTGGTGGTGTTCCTTAAGGTGTTTACAAGTTTGTTTCATAGACTTCTGCCTATCAATCAATGCATATCTTGAAAGGCACCTTCAACATTAACCAATATGGGTTAACTAAATGGATATAATAAAACTTTTATGTAATCCTTACGTAGGATGCCCATTTTATTACGAGCAGACACCATAGTTATTGGAACACAAAAATGAATACTCGTATGGCACTTGATCATACAGCAATGTTTTGGAGAGGCTTTGGACTGAAGACTTGTCCACACTGCTTCTCTGTGGGAAGCATTTGATTGGACAATGTACCACACTAACAAGGAAAAATAAAGGGGAATTGTTAACTGAAGAAGGCAATTCCTCACAAAAGATAGTTTCAATTTATAGGTTTCTTTTTTAAGGCTTAGGAGAGATTTGTGTATTTTTACTAAATATGTGTGTGTATATATTTATATTATATATACATAAAAATGATAGGAGGAGGAGACAAGAATTGAGTTGTGACATATGTGCAATTTTAGACACCAATAAAGTGAATTAACAAGGAAATCTTTTATGAGGTTTCTGCAGCAGTTTGGGAATTTGCACCCAAAAATAGTTCATCAGTAGTGATATCCCGAACGGTTCGCAGCGGACTCATCATTGAGTAAACTTTGACCCTGTACCTCACAGTCAGCAGACACATTCCAACCAATCAGCAGCAGACCCTCCCACCTCCTGGACAGCTCACTAAGAATGCAGCTTCACAATGAATGTAAAATGGATGCTGTCCAGGAGGTGGGAGGGTCTGCTACAGATTGGCTGGAATGTGTCTGCTGACTGTGAGGTACAGGGTCAAAGTTTACTCAAGGATGAGTCCGCGGCGAACCATTCGGGACATCACTATTCATCAGTTTTAACTAAAATCAGCCATAAGCTTAATTGAACAAAAGTCATCACCAGCTTAATTCAAAATTAATACAAAACTGAACACATTTTTCCAAATCAGCTATTTTGACCTTAAATTTGAAATGCACCTTTAATTCACTTTGATTTCTCAATTTAGTCAAAACCCTGTAAAATGCAGATAGAACAACTCCCTACAGCGGTTTAGGCTTGAGAACAAATCTAAAAAGAAGAGAAGCTGTTATTTACAGTCTAGAACCTGGACTATAGTTTCTTAAAGGACCACTATAGGCACCCAGACCACTTCAGCTTAATGAAGTGGTCTGGGAGCCAGATCCAGCTAGGGTTAACCCTTTTTTTTTTTTTTAAATAAACATAGTTTCATAGAAACTGCTATGTTTATAAATGGGTTAATCCAGCCTCTAGTAGCTGTCTCTTGACAGCCGCTAAAGGGGCTTGCGTGCTTCTCACTGTGAAAATCACAGTGAGAAGACTCCAGAGTCCATAGGAAGCATTTTAAATGCTTTCCTATGAGACTGGCTGAATGCGCGTGCAGCTCCTGACGCGCATGCACATTCAGCCGAGGAGGAGAGCTCCCCGCCCAGCGCTGGAGAACGAGGTAAGTTTAACCCCTTTCTCCCCCCCTTCAGTGCCACGGGAGGGAGACCCTGAGGGTGGGGGCACCCTCAGGGCACTATAGTGGTCCTTTAATCAAATCATATGAATATTACTTCAAGGGGGAGGGGTGGTGAAGGCTCCTTCCAATATTTGCAAGACTGCAGATGGGGCATATGACCTATTTAAGATCTGTAACTTTCAGAGGTCTGTGTATATTTTAGAAAGACTACTGGTTGCTTAGGGTGCAGTGGAAGGTGGATATACTGGCCTGGAAGCTGTCCCACATGCCTGCTGCCATCATCTTCCTGGGAACCTTCATCTCCCAGGAGCCATATCAGTGTAGTACTCTAGGGCAGGGCTGTCCAACCTGCGGCCCCCCAGATGTTGCTGAACTACAACTTCCATGATTCCCTGGCTATCTGTTTCATTGAAAGAATCATGGGAGTTGTAGTTCAGCAACATCTGGGGGGCCGCAGGTTGGACAGCCCTGCTCTAGGGCATGCATGAGAGTACATCACAGCTGATTGAGACAAAGCAGTCCCTAAAGTCTTACGATATCTTTAAATTGTGTTGGATTCTCAATAAAAATAATTTGAACACAGTCAATAAATATTTCATAAAGAGTACATTATGAAATACACTGACATAGCCACTTTAAGAGCCCAAAGACATCCAATGATACAAAAAAAAAAAAAAAATCTTTCCATCATTATCTCAATCTGCATTTCTTGTGTCAAAAAAACCCCCAAACTATCTACAGTTGCAAACTTCTACTCTTGAAGTGAATAACAATAAAAACAGTCTATTCACATCACTTGCTATTAGAGTGCCTTCCATCTACTAAGTGCTATCATGAGGTTATAATCTAAAGGTGCAAAAAAAAATTTAACTTGTGTGTTGTAAACCACTTTTTTTCTTTTTTTTAAATAAAAACTGAAAAACATAATTGTGGGTGTTTTTATCAAAATGTTTGGTTATCTTTCCATTTGACTAATTTTCTTCTTTTACAGCAAATAGCGAATGCTTATGTAGAATTGGTCTCAGCTGGCAGAAAAGACTTGTTATAAATACTCTACAGCAAAATCATGAATATGTTGATTTGACCTCCTATTTACCAGTATGTAACAATGCACCAGCTTTGTAACAATGCATAGCTGTTATAGCTCTGGTAACCATGAGTCAAACCAAAGGGCTGTTGCACCACAATTATGGGAAACAGAGTATAAATGTAGGTAGTCAGGTTTAGACAGACTAATTTGAGAAGCGCAGATGCACCAGCACCTGCCATCTAGATAGGAACAAGCAACGGATCTGTAAACGTAGATTTTCATGATTCCAGTATGGTTCTAGATCATTGTTAGCAGCATTGAACAAACCATTCTGAACTCGACAACCTTCCTTTCAATACCTTGCATACCATTCCCTTGTATTTGTCATGTCAGCGAACAGGGCATTCCCAAAGAGGTAAGCGGAAATATCTCTAGGTGTTCCATCTTGTTGGAGGCTGACGTTTGACCTTTGTATAGAATTGTGAGGTTATAATGTTTTAAAATAACCTACCAAAAATAAGTAGCAGTGAGAGGACTGCATCCCTCGGTAAAGAGGATTATTTATTACAAAACGTCCTTGCAGAACCTGTTTCACCCTTTCAGTGCAGTCTCTGCAGAGCTTTACCATAACAGAGTAATGCTCTGCCAATCCTCCATACATCCACGCTGATGAGGCAGGGAAGTGAGGGTTGAGCTTACTGGTCACTCAAAATGACACATACATACATTATATATATATATATTTGTAATTTTCAATAGGGGCTCAGTCCAGGTGAACTGGTGTCTCTCATTCGCATTTAAGCACACAACCAACCTCCACTCTGAGAGGAGAGGGGGCAGAGATCCACTCGCCATACTACTCCCCCTTTCCGTAGAAAGAATTCAAAATGTTACCAAAAAATGTGCAGGATTTTGTACAAGGGAAGGGAGATGAAGGGGGAAAGAGATGGTTGATGGTGAAGGGAGAGGTCAGCTCATCATCTCATTACTGTTGGGGCCGCAGGAGGAGTTTTTCATAGAGTCATTCACTTCTCGTCTGAAGGCAGAAAGATTCTGTGTGAACCTACAGGAAGAACCAGCAGCAATTAGTATGGCAGCAGATTGTATCATTGCAGTTTAATATTTTGATCTTCATATGTACCAATCCAGCAGATAATGGTATCATTAGGCTGTGATGGTTGACCCCTGGTTTTACCAAAACCAAAGCACCCAGGGCCTGACCTCTGCTCACCTATTGCTAATGTGGAGGTTCTACTTTGGCACTGACAGTGCCAGTTTCAATCATACTTTAAATGGCTTTAAAAGAGTTAGCAACAGAGGAGCAGGGGGTCTATGGGTGCTTTGGTCAAACAGCTCGAAGATCGTTTGACTAGGATCCAAGGCCAGCACCCACAGACTAATGACACTTACCAGTATATGTCAGTATGATAAAGTGTTTATGATGCTTTGCGTCACTCTTAAGATATGGAAAGCATAAACCTGTACCACTTCTGGATATGAATGTATGTTATGTGCCATATTGTCCTATGATTGCTCAAACCTTTATGTACACTACGACTACTGACTAGGCAGTTCAGTTAGTGTAAATCATGTGCTATCCACCTTGTGCAACAATTTCATGAAGCTTGACAGGTTAGGAATAAGACCATATTCTGTGAATAAGGAGATCCTTAAATTAAAAGTACGGAGTAGTCTTTTTTTTTTTCTTTTTGAGAGGAGCACACACATACAATCTTCAAATGCAGACCACAGCAACTACAATTTCAAAAATTAACTTGCTTCTATTCTCCACTTTTCTCATTTTACTGGTGCCAGTGGGGATTGAGAATTAATTTGTTTGGTTGGAACTCCTATGCTGAATGAGTCAAGAATAGAAAGGAAAAAAACAAAACTCCTTGAAATAAACCACTAACATAAAGGTGGATGCAGTATGATAAACCAAATGATAAATAATACATTCTATGAGCATCTCATGTGTATCTCTGAGATGTTCATCTATATTTCTATCACTATAGTATGGTAGCATACAGACCTGTCTCTATTCTTTGTGAGCAAGTTCCTTTCAATGCCCTCCATCAAATTCTCAAAGCATAGATGCATGGCTTGTTGCTTCTCAGGGGGCTGGCTACTAACAATGCTGCTACGCAAGTCTGAGAAATACTAAAAAAAAAAAAAAAATCAAGGGACAATAAGACATGGTTAAGGATGATAGTGAGTGGGTGTTTGGGAATGTATATCATACGGAAATAAACGTTTATGAGTATGTCAATAGAGTGAGGCATTACAGACAATGCAGCCAGTTGTTGGCAATACAAAATTATAATTGGTACCTTCTCATTGAGGAGAATGAGACCAAGGAGAGGTCTACTCATGGACCACTGATTCCGACAGTCTTCAAATATGATGATGTTGAGAACAGTGGAGAGCATCTGGGAAAGAAGGATGCATGTAAATTTCAAATAATTCCAAAACTGATTGCAACTGATAACTGGTCATGGAGAATGGTTGAGAAAAACTGAAAGACTGCGAAGCATAATGCATGCTACAGGTTAGGGTTCACTCAATGGTGAACAGAGGGAGATTATTATTTTTTTGGGATTACCTGCTGGATCATTTCAGGGTGTTGCTGCATAATATGCAGGAAGCGCTCGCTCTCTTGTGGTGGTGGGGCTCCTCGTTTCTTACCAGTTCGGGATAACTGTTTGAAGAGGTATGTGACTATGTGGTCCAGACAAGAACAGCAGCCTGTGCACACCATGGTGTCTTCAGGAAAATGACAATGTTAGAGGGAAAAAAAAATAATATTCCACTAAGAAAGGACCATGCTAACACTTAATGTAGCAGGCAGTGGGCATACAATATTCAGTCACAAAGGAAAATGAGATGAAAGTCAGAGTATTATTTGGTAAACTGTTACTCACCCAGAGCTGTGAGCCCCTCAGAGATGGAGGACAGAATGTACATGATAACATGTGGCTCGAGGCTGGCGATGAAAGACATGTGATCCTGAGTCAAGACCTCCAGAAGCGAGTAATAGGACTGACTGAGCTTGGGGTAATCCTGCAACCACATGGGGGCACACTCAGTGTTACACAAAGTAACAACAATCACTGAGTTCAGGGCAACACAAATTCCCAAGCGGATACACTTAGGGTTGCTAACAGTGCCAGGACTGTATGAACCTAGTGTAATAATTGCAAATTATGGGGCAAGATAAGTGGCGCACAGACAAACAAAAACACAGGGAAAGCACAATAAAGTACACACTATAATACAACTATCTTTGCCTGGTGTAATAAAATATTCCATAGTTTGTAAGCACTCATAAGCTTAGTAGAACTGAGATTTGGGCCATATAAAAACAATAAGGTTAAAAGGTAAATAAAAACCTTTGAGGATGTAAATATGTTCATGACAGTGTAAGGGGAGTGACTGTTGGAGAAAATTGAAGGAATATGGCAGACATAGGTGGTGATACATATACCAACTGGAATGTCTGACCTTATTCTAACACTTCAAAATAGATGTGTGTGTCATGGGAGGAAGTAATGAGTGTTACACACACAGTATCACAGGAACAATAATGCTTTATCAGCCAAGCTATTGTTACAAGAATCACAGGAAGCACAGTGTGATTTAAATACAAACCATCACGTTACAGACTTACACCCAGCATAGCACAAATAGAGTGACATATAAACACATCTCCACAAAATGTTTAGTTTCACAATGCATCAAAATATGATTCACCGCATTCATCTTGCTGGTGAAATTATAAACAGATCACTTTGTGCTATAGACAGAAGGCAATCTGTGATAAGTCAACATATTTTAAATACAGGCTGTACATATCAGCAGACAAAGACATACAATAGGTTAGAAGGTAACTTAATACACATAATTAGATGTGATTTATATAGGTCACTGTGTGGAGCTATATTATATACACACATACATACACACATATATATATATATATATATATATATATATACACACACACACACACACACATACATACATACACATATATACACACACACACACATACATACACATATATACACACACACACACACCATAGGTTGCAGTATACATGACTATACACAAATAGATTTAAATAGAATCTAAGTACCAGTAAATCACTGTGTGGCACAGAAAGCAGCAGTTTGACAAATGTTTGCAGAGCATTATCCAGCGCCTCATCTCCATACAGTCGGAAGACCCCAAAATTTACGTAGCTCCCACTCAGAGCAGCCTTTAGCACCGAGAAACAGATGGATATGCCCTTCAATTTTAACACATACAGCTGCTCCTTTGGCAGCTCCACGAGGGTCAAAATCCTATTCCCTGTAAGCAAATGCATGGTTTTAAAATGGCTCTAAAACTGGTAAAGTTTTAAACATTTCCAAAAGAATACAAACAGCAGCAAAATTATTTTTTACGCAAACCCAAAACCTGTAAATAGGGGGACAACTTACCTAGAATCCAACCTCGGCGAAGCTCTTTGAGCGCTTCCAGGTCCCAACTGATGCCACATCGCATCAATTTTACACTCTATGGACCAATATATAGCTTCTCATAAAAAAGCATTTGACTGGCCGTTCTCACTGGATCAGAGTGCATATGTGTGCTCTGAGTGCGTGGACAAGTGAGGGAGGAGAATACAAAATACACCAAAAGAAATAATCAGAGGAATATAATGAAATGTAGGGAGGTGGAGACAGTAGCAAGAGCTTAAAAGGGCTCAAATGAGAAAGGACGGGAGAAGAGATCTAGATCTCGCGAGCATGCTCCCAGTAGCTCTTGCTACTGTCTCCACCTCCCTACATTTCCCAGTGCTACCTGTAAGGATAGACGCGCATTAAATCTGTTGCTAAGCACAGGGACAACAGATGTAATTTCTTAACAGATTTAACTTTAAGCCAACCTAAGTCACGTGAGCAGGAGTAACTATGTAGAAATGCTGGGTGCATATGATTTGTTCCTCCATGACCACTTCTTAAAGAAGTAGTGGTAATGAAAACTGGAGTAACCCTTTAATAGTTCTATTTTTTTATCAAACAACTATTTATACTTAAAGGAACACTCCATTGAAAATAATATATATTATGGAGGAAGAAATTGAATAAAAAACACACACACTTTTTTTTATTAATGCAATTAAGTAGGCATACCCCCAATGAAAACATGCATTTGTTTTTTCCCACTGGGGGTATACCTAAACCCTCTCCCTTAATTTTGTGAAATTTAGAGTTCAATAAATAACTCAGACTGCTTATTTAGTGCTTTCAAAAATGTTGCAATGTTTCCACTTCTCAGAAGGCTTTAACAAAGCATGAAGGCTATTTACATCAGTCCCTGGAAGTAAGCTCTCAGGTCATATCAATTATTAAAGTTAGATAAATTGGTACCTGATATTTACATACCATAAGTTGTGATCATTTTACTGGTCTCTCTGAAAAGAAGAATTCCATTAGGAGAGGAGACATCAAACTGCAACCTCTGTGATCTGCATGGACAAAAAATAAATAAATTAAGCAAACGGATGACTGAAAAAGGAGGAGAAACTAGACATAAACCACAACCAATAAGGAATTTCCAACAAAAAGAAAAGATTGTAAAGAACGGAGAAGAAAGAGCAGGACAGCCAAGAACTGGATCCAAACCTGTTATGCACCAGTTCTGCCATTAGTTTGAGAATAGGGGTTGTACATGCTGGATCATGGAACCAGAGCTCTAATGCCCTCTGGAGGATGGGCATGTAGGCTGGGTATCTGGTAAGGGTTAAGGATTTAATTCTACAAATCTATATACCCAGAAGAGAATTGCTAGCCTTTGCTTCTTTTCATTGCATGCATCTAACATGAGCTTATGCAAACCTTGTAGACAAAAACAATTCACAGTAAAACTTACAATGAACCACTTTAAATAAATAATGCACTCCTCTAAGTCTGGACATGCATTGTAAATTAAACTATGATTTTCTCTAAGATGATATAACCCAAAATCCACTTTATTTGCCATAGAAATAACACATAACCCCCCCACTACCATTTTGTAAACCCAAGCTCCATTCTCAGGATACATCCAGTCAAACAGCATCATGAAGCTGCTTTTAGCGTTGAATGCAAAGGCAATCCCTCTCAGGTCTCTCACCAATCCAACAAGGCTCCTCTACAAGAGGGAAAACAGAATCTTAAACAGAGCAGGATAAATCTTCCTTGTACAGAATATAAATACATATTTTATAGCATTATTTAGCTCTGCTGTGCAACAGAACAAGGTTACAAAAGATACTGACACACATCTGGTGGATTTTCAGAGAGGTTAAAGCGGAGCATGGTGAATGGATCTGAGTGTTAGGTGTGGCATGTGAGGAGTCCAGGACAGCAGAGCAGTGAATTCAACTTTTTGTAAAGTAACTGGATTCTTTATCAGTTTCCAAACAAAAACCACAGTTAAAGCATCATTATTTTAAGCCAAGTATCTGAACCACAGTTCTGTATACTACTAGCAATGACACGCCGCCATCTGTGCAAGATGCGCCACATCTGAGTTGGTCATCTTTGCGTGGATTGTCTGCAGCGAGCGTACCAGTTGAAATAGCCTTACTGTGTAGTTTCCCTAACAGAGGTCCCTCCAGTACTGCAGACATGGCGCGTCTAATGATTTTGACGGTTTCAGATTTGCTGTCCAATAATACACCCAAGACTAGTATTGGAAAGTAAAAGCATTACTCTCTTTATTGAACCAAAACTTTGTAATTTATAAACAGAAAAGTACATTAACACAGGTAAGAAGACAAATTGTGTTTATTACACAGATCAATAAGACCAAGCAGAGAGGAACAGTGGAGCCATTGGAACCAAGTACTCCAGTAACAATCAGAAGGCGATTGTTATAATTAAAGATGAACTATAAACCTTTTCAATACAAGGTGATTAAGAGCGTGACACAAAATGACCAATCATAGATGGGAATCTTGACCGTAACCAATCCCTTTCGTGGGCATTCACTGTAAGGAATTGTCCCTTCCTTAAAAGTTGCTTTTTAGTCTATGTATAAATTGGGGGGGGTGGGGTGGGGAGGGAAGGCGGAGTCTACATTTGTTAATCATGAACACTGACTTTACTGCCATTACAGGGCTTTTCTTTGATATTAATTTAATAGACTGGTCGCAGTAAGGCTTTTCTCTAGTCTAGTTCTCCAGCCCGTGTTTTAGTTTATGGGTTGGATCCGGTGTATATTAAACCATTTACATAATAAGTATTTCCTGTAGTCTATATCTCACATTACAGTATGAATGCCGTGTATGTCACATTTATACAACATGCAAAATCTCTATCTTTAACTTTATTTGACTGCCTCCACTAAAAGCACAACTAAACAAAGACAAGATGTCTTACCTTGGCCTCCTGCTCATTGAAATTGTTAGTGTTAAACATTTGTGCCATTGATTCAAAGGCAGCAGTGAGTGGCAGCATGAACTGAGAGAACTGTTCCTCATCCTCCCCTAACAGGAGAAAAAACATAATGAAGAGGCATATACACCCAGGGATTGTCAGGATACTCCCCCATCAACACACTGCACCATACCTAAATCCACCATGAGGAGTCGTCCCAACGCAGTGTAGAAGGTGGTTCTACATCGCATGTCCGAGAGGTTTGACTGGCTGTTAATGCCCAGGAAGGAGAAATGCTCACTCTGAAAACAAATTACAGAGATATGAGAGCAGACAGACGTTAGCGATGCTATCTGTATTACATAGGGAATCAAGGATGAAATTGTTTTAGGTTTCATTATTGTATTTATATATTTAAGTTTTACTAAATTGGAATCTCTACTTGTAAATATATTTGTGTATGCCCAATAGCATAAAAAAAAAAAAAAAATGTAAACTGACATATACTAATTGTATGTTTAAAGATTTTTCAAAAGTAAATTTTTTTTTTTTTTTTTATATTATATTACCACATAATCCCCACAGTGCAGTACAGATGGTTCAGGTGAACATTATAAATTATTTTCAGAATTAATGAAAAACAAGACATTACGGTTTGCATCACTAATGTTTGCAAAAAGAATGTCAGATTGAAGGGTTCCCCCTGTTGAATGCATTTCTTTACGGACCCTGTACCCAAGGAAGGAAAAGGAGACCCACCACTACAATTATACATCAGATTACCATCACAAAGGACATATAGGATCATATAGACAGAGTCAGAAACAATGTAACACAAAAACCTCACTGCTAGCAAGGAACATGATAAACAGAAACATATCAAGAACTGTATGACAATACAGCTCTACAAAAGGTTTTGAACTATTCACAGACAAGGTGAGTTAAAGGAACACTGCAGCATTATAAATGCCTTCATTTTTTAATGCAGGTGTGTTTAACTCTGCTCTTCCCCTATACCCCCCAGCACTGTCTGCCTGATTCACAGCTGGGGGTTGCAACCCAGAGGCTTTAGAAACGTGCTGTTTTTTTCTTGAATTCATCACTTTTCCAAAGTCAAAATAGGGGACATTATTTTATCCCCTAAAGCATTTTAGGGGTTAACTAGAGGTTTGGAGTGTTCCTTTAAGTATTGGTACTTACCGTGTGATTGTTTAGCATGAATTGCACAGCACTGAGTTTCACCAGTTTTCTAACACTGCTGTATGTGCAAGGGGTTAAGGAAAAGCACCAGATTCAATTACAATAATATACTCTACCCTCTAAAATATATTATATACAGGATATATTCCCTTAGAAATTTATGCAAATGAGAATAGATTTAATGTTACTGTACTACCAACTTAGAACGGTAAATATAATTCCCAATAACCAGAACACCCCCACAAGCAAAAGATCATCATATGTTAGGATATCCTATGGACAAGTCGTTCAGAAGCTGCAAAGTCTTGGAAGTAATGGGTTCACATCGGCCCCAGTATTTCAGGTTTGTAATTCTGTGGGAAAAAATAGTTTGCGTCAAGTCTCACCAATATTGAAATGTGCATTTTAATATCTCAATATCATCAATACACTCTGTAAATAACAAGCAATATCTGTGGAAAGGTTGATGACAAGCCAACAGGGTCAGGCAAAGATTGAAAGGAAAGAACAGGATGAGGACAAGGCAACATTATTGAAAGGTAAACATGCAGTGGGGAAGGGATAGGTGTCAGGTGCCCATACAGAACATTCATTTGCATATTCACCTATTATTTATTCAGAACAGACAAATTAAGTAATACTGGATGTGGCTAAAAGGGAAATATTAGTTTGAGAGACAAACAGACACAATATGCTCTGGAAGCCCTGCCTGCATGCTTGCAATCTGGTTATGTACAGGATAGTAGAATGCAACACACACCACCACCTAACATGCCTCACATTTTGCCAATGAAGATGCTCAACACCATAGTCTCATCGTTCAGGCCGAGAACATCTGAAAGACGGCGGTAGAGCTATTATGGAGATAGAGAAAAAAAATAAAAATATAAAGATAAGCAGACTGAAAGTCTTTATTTTTCTCACTTGCAGACATACCAACCGATTTACTGCATATTTTTCTATAACCAAAACCCCTTTAAACCCCACAGCACTGAAAATGAAGGCTGCAATAAGGAGAAACGAGCGTCTGCCAAGTGATCACAAAATAAAATATGTAATGTGCACTTATTGTTCTGCTTTGTTCCCATATAATAAAGGAATGGCAGCAGTAAAATATTTTTTAGAAAAATCTGATTTTAAAATAGATTTTATTTTATAGGGAATATTACTCATTTTAACGAACAACTTATTTTGGTTTGAAGACCCTTTATTTACAGATCTGTGGCACAGCAGTGGGCACCAAGTTCGCCCCAAGCTATCAGATGGATAATGGATCAGTGCTAAATGATCTAATAGAAGCTAAAAACAAATGAGGAAGCAGCAACCTATAAATATGAGGTTCACTCACATACCCTCAGAAGAAGTAGACAAACAGAAAAATGGTATGTAGGTCGCGTTATAGGGACAAGAGGATAGTTAGTGAAAGAAATGTATGTACGTAGAATAAATAAATAAATAAAATGATAGTCCCAATACTGGTATCTTTTTTTAGGATGCGGCATGTGCCTTCCATGCAGAACAACGAAAAGTAATAAAAAGACATTTAGTGAATATAGAAAATAGAATTAAAAAAACCATATATTATCAAGGACCACCTAACTTGCCATTCAAAGGGCATCATATACCTTTTGAAATGCCCATGTGATTTACTTTATATAGGCAGGACGATTCGGCCACTAAAGGTCCGCATCGCAGAACACATTAGAAATATAAAAAAACGGTTTAGAAACCCACAGTGTGTCCTTACACTTTAAACAGACCCATAACCAAAACCCAGAAAACCTATTTTTTTGCGCAATAAAGGAGGTAAAAAGAGATCGGAGAGGAGGGAACTACATTAAAAAATTGGAAAAGGAAGAAATGAGTTTTATTTACAACTTAAAAACCTTCATCCCTCATGGTTTAAATTCGGATTTTGAAGTCTGCCATTTTTAAGCATCTTTTTTATATATAGCTCACTTGTTTATTTTAATATCATATCCATTATATTTACAAATATATTTCTTCTTTTAATAAGAGTTCACTTATATGTATAACCATTTTCTTAACTACTATTTGGGTTTTATTTGAGTATCTCACGGTATATGAGATTTGAATTTTATATTGTATAGTGATATAAATATCTTTATTCATTTATACAATTATTGTAATTTTTTCTCTTTTTTGCTCTCTTTTTCATTATGTATTTATTGTATATACTCACCCATTGATTTTAAATTAACTATTTGATGGAATAAAAACGCAATAATTTGCTTTTTTTAAATGATTGAATAAGGGGTGAGACACACACATAAGTATATTGAACAATGTGGAACGCATGAATGCGCTCCAATATAGAGGAATGGACACGAATCACATGCGTTCCACCAATGGAACGCACAACTTGGAATCCGGAACCGGAAGTGAATACACGATACACAGAGGAATGGATGTGAACCACATGCTTTCCACTTATGGAACGCACAACCCGATACCGGAAGTGACAGCAAGTTAGGAAAAAAATGCCAATTGAGGTGAATTTAAAAGGAAATCTACAGACAAGACAGCAGCAGCAACTGAGGAAGCCTCCCAGCGAGGCGAAAAGCGTATTGCACTACAAAGAACCTACAGAAACCTTATTAAGGACTTACCTTCGGACTGTAAGGTTTTCACTTTTATTAATTTGTTTTTCTATTCTATTTTTAATATTTTTACTTTATGTGCACTTTATAATAAAGCACTTCATATTTATATCTACTATTGAGAGGATATTTGATTTTTTGGAACCATTCCACCTACCTAAAGAAGGGAGTGGGGACCTTTATACCCCACTAAGCTGGAAATCTGAGCCTATATTTATTGGCTCCAACCTTGTGAGTGTATTTCCATCCATTATTTACACTCTTATATGTACAACTGACAATATTGCACTATTGTTTTCCTCTTTTGTATTTTATTACTAGGACGATATTCACCCAAGAATTGTCAAAACATTTATAAGAAAGAAACTTCACCTTATATGTATGTATACATATGTAATATGCACTTATTGTTCTGCTTTGCTTCAACACATTCTTATCACTGTGTGTCTTCTGCATTAGTCTCTCATAAGTACCCATAGTAGTCTTACCTTAGAGGATTTTTGAACTTGATCTCCAATGTATATTTTCCTGAATTGTTCAAAGAAGCTCAGCATGGACAGTTCCAGCTTTTCATTGCCAGCCTGTGCTAGACGTGAGTCAGTGAGGTTCATTAGCTGTAAAACTCTGCAAAAACAGAAGGTGAACAAACAACTTCAGGTACAAAAAAGGGGCAGAGTCCTAAATCATTACAAAGCCCACCAAAATGTAATCTGTTTAAAGTGACTCATTTTTTTATTTTGGATTATCTATCCTAATATACCCCCTGTGTCTTAATGGTTATGCTACCCCTCTAACACTTGCCTTTATTTATCTCTTATTCCTTATGCTAAATCTCAATACCTGGGTGCAGTCACTTTGTTCTTTTCTGCCATGATGTCAGCTATTTGCCCTACTGTGGGATTGACTTTACTGATGGATTGTGGCTGAATCCGATTGGCAACTGAAACAGAACCTTGCTGTAATCTCTGCCCATTGTTAAGTTTTGTCAACTTGACTGCTAGACATAAGGAAAAGTAGTTCCTACTTTTTCTTATGAGTTTTATCAAACCTAAAGCACTCAGGACAAAAAATAAATAAAAAAAAAGCTGTATAGAACCAGATTAGATTTTTTTTTTTTTTTTTTGGTGACAGAGCCACTTTTAGCCCTAGATAAGAACACAACAGGATAGAGATAAATAGATAGGGAGAGAATTTATTTGGAGGCAAAATGCATGGAAAAAAGCCTTATTAATACTAAAATAACTAAAATGATGTATACAGTTAATTGGGAGTTGCTTTAAAGTACCGTATTTACGCGAGTATCAGCAGAGTTTTTCCGGCACACTTTTTGTGCTGAAAAACCCCAACTCGGCTTATACTAGAGTCAGTCTGTATTATGGCAACTTACATTGTCATAATACAGACCAGGACCGCCGGGCTCATTACAAGCCCGGCGGTCCTGTTGGGGGCTGACAGTGAACTCTTACCTTCCTGCAGCTTCTGTCAGCTCCCTTCTCCTCCGTGCAGCTCCCCGGTCAGCTCCGTTCTGCTCCCAGTGTAAATGGGTCTCGCGAGACTTACATTGTAAACAGAACGGAGCTGACAGGAGAGCTGCACGGAGGAGAAGGGAGCTGACAGAAGCTGCAGGAAGGTAAGTAAGAGCTCACTGTCAGCCCCCCCACTGAACTGCCAATGCCACTGGACCACCAGGGATTTAATATTATTTTATTTTAATAATAATAAATTAATATTATTTTATTAATTATATTATTATTATAATATTTGCATTTTTTTTTTTTTTTTTAATGGATTTTTTTGTCCCCCCTCCCTTCTTGTTGCCTGGCCAGGGAGGGGGGACAAAAACATTAAAAAAATAAATAATGCAAATATTAAAATAATAATATTATTAAAATATAATATTAAAATAAATAATATAATAAAATATTAAAATAAAAAAATAAAAATGCCCTCCCCTCATCCAGTTTACACACACTGCACAAACACAACACACAAACTGCATTCATTATATATATATATATATATATATATATATATATATATATATATATATATATATATATATATATACACATACACACACACAACACACACTCTGCATTCATTATATACACACACACACACTCTGCATTCATTCTATACACACTGTAAATAAATATTCAATTAATGTAATTTTATTGGGATCTAATTTTATTTAGAAATTTACCAGTAGCTGCTGCATTTCCCACCCTAGGCTTATACTCGAGTCAATATGTTTTCCCAGTTTTTTGTGGTAAAATTAGGGGCCTCGGCTTATATTTGGGTCGGCTTATACTAGAGTATATACGGTAAGTATAAGTGCAAAGGGGACAAGATTTTAAGCTCATAAATTCCCTTTTTGTGGATTTAAAAGAATACACCACTGGAATTTAGCCATTTATTACATAACCCACTAAAAAAACATGCACATATTTTTTTGCTGCATGTTTTCTTTGGGTTACATGAAAAACAGCTAGCAAACAGTGCTGACCTTCTGTATGCAGACTATGAAAGCCCTCCCCTCTTTCTCAAGTACAGTCTTTATGGCTATATAGTTAAAATTCGCTTTAGCTTTTTAATCCTCCTGACATGTTCAGTTAAAGGAAATTAATTTGCTTCCTCCAGCTAGGCTACACAATCTGTTCCTTAATGTTTATGCTGCCCGGCACTATTATAGATCCACACCATTCTAAATTTATGACCATAGACACAAGGAACAGGGTCACTGCTCAATAGGACAGCTTACACTGCTTACCGACACACTAGTTCCCCATCCATGGCATCCTGCTCATCTGTGCTGGCAAAGGAGACTCTACCTCCAATCACGGCACCAATAATGTATACCAACCAAGTAAGGCGGCCTATGGAGAGAGTAAGGATTAAATGAGTTGCAAAATTAAGGAATGTATGTAACTACATGAAGGAATGTATGTAAAAGTGTGATAAAACCTAGAAAGATATGTAGGGATAAAAGGGAAAGAACATAAGAAATTGGCTAAATAAAAAAATTAAAGGGACATTGTAGACCCCTAAAGCACTTCAGCTGACTCACTTTGCTTGAACGATCATTTAAGTGAAAGTGAGAACATCCATAGGGAAGTATTATCAGCTTCATTATGAGATGCTTTCTAATGGGCAATCATATTTGAATGGTGCATTCCCACCAATGATCAATTTCATCTAATAAAAAGGAAAGCAATCTTTAATATTTTCTTGGGGTGCATTTGGTACCTAAATGATTAAAGAAACACTAATCTTGTTGAAATTAGTTTTTAACTTTGGAATGTTCATTTAAATGAGCCAGCTTGTGGAATGTTGTATGAATGTTATGCAAGGACAGGGGGAACCCAAAAGAAAATCAAACAGCAGGACCACAAAACAGCTTGCTGATATAAGAACAACTCTGTTAAAGGACCACTCTAGGCACCCAGACCACTTCAGCTTAATGAAGTGGTCTGGGTGCCAGGTCCAGCTAGGGTTAACCCATTTTTTCATAAACATAGCAGTTTCAGAGAAACTGCTATGTTTATGAATGGGTTAAGCCTTCCCCCTAATCCTCTAGTGGCTGTCTCATTGACAGCCACTAGAGGCGCTTGCATGCTTCTCACTGTGATTTTCACAGTGAGAGCACGCCAGCGTCCATAGGAAAGCATTATGAATGCTTTCCTATGTGACCGGCTGAATGCGCGCCTAGCTCTTGCCGCGCGTGCGCATTTAGCCGACGGGGAGGAGAAGAGGAGGATCGGAGGAGGAGAGCTCTCCGCCAAGCGCTGGAAAAAGGTAAGTTTTACCCCTTTTCCCCTTTCCAGAGCCGGGCGGGAGGGGGACCCTGAGGGTGGGGGCACCCTCAGGGCACTATAGTGCCAGGAAAACGAGTATGTTTTCCTGGCACTATAGTGGTCCTTTAAATAGTAGTACTCACCTTCTTGAACAGTAAGCTCCATGCTGGGGGCAGACCCACTTTGTAGCAGCTCCTGGTAAGTTTGGGCTGACTGGTCAAAAAGCTGCACCAATAGAGCACAGGTTTTGTCATACTCGCAGCGTCCAATGGTAGAGAGCTGATCCAGCTGCTGCTGAACTAGACCGGCATCCTCCAGAGGATCCTCCAGCCCGTCCCTGCAAAGCACAACCAAAAAGTTACTGCCATTCAAACAAACTTTTTTTATACAGGCTTACAGATAAATTGAGCCGTATGAAGATATATGTGTGAAATGCAATGATCTAATATTATATACAGTGGGAAGATTTTAATTAAAAAAAAATGTTGCCCCAAAACAGCCATAATTTGGTACCTGAGGATGATGTGCACAGACTCCAGGCGAGATGTGACATAGGCCTTTGTCACCTCTGGCGTGTAGGTCTCCAGAAGATGAGGCTCTGTCGCCTTCACGTAAGGAACAGATGCCGCAAGACGTTGCCACAAACTTAGGAGATAATGCACAGAGTTTGGTGCAAATTCCCAGTGCTGAAGGCAACAAGAAACATTTACAATAATTATTGTATTGGCGCACCTAAACTGCTGCCACATTCATTAGCAATTACTACAAATTTAGACACTTCTTTTGACATATTACAAAAAAAAAAAATGTCCAGCACTTCTTATTGTGAAAAAAAATGGTATCCCTTTATTGGCAAACATCAACGTTTCAACTGTGTCTTTATCAAGCAATGTCAAGACACATTCCTGAGGGATGGTCTGTAATTGGTTTTATCCCTTTGACCTCAGGCTAAAGTACAATTTGACTGCAGTAGTCTTATCATTGTAACATATGTACTCCCAAGATGAAGCCTGTATGACCACTGTAAATGGACAGGCTACTTTATTACCTATTACAAACAACTATCCCCATGTAGGTGTAACTGCATGCTCTAATCTGTGGTATGACAAATCCCAGACAGACATCCTATTCTACAGGTGATATATGCATGCTCGTTTTATGTTCATAGATTTCCTTGCAGAATGGGACTAAATCTCTCATTTAGCCAGAGTGTGCATTCTCGCCGTATCATTTTCTTCTGTACCTGTAGACTTGTGACTGTGAAGTTAGCAATCAGTCTGATGACCTCAGGATAATTCTCCACCTTGACTAGTTCCCCAAGTTGGTAATTGCTCTTCAGACGGGCAAGCAGTCGGCAAAACTCATGGTAATTATTGGGGTCAGACAAACTCTATGGATAAATTAGTTAAGACCAACATAAATGTCACTCAGGATGCGGGAGATCACCTATTACCATTGCTCTCACTATATTGCTATCAGATGTTGGATAAAAATTCACTGAATTATACAATATTTAAGTCTAATCAGGAGCGCTGATGTGCCAGATATCACCAATAACTGAAATATAGATCTAAAAATATTTAGAATTATAATCAAAGTCTCAGTTGTTCCTAATAAATCTTAGTCAACATATATTATTAGCAGCTGCAATAAACTTTTAAAGTGGTTAGGATATATAAATTTGATGCAATAACTTGGGGTTTCCATGATTTTTTTTGTAAATATATATTAAATAAATTGGGAATCCTCATTCCATTACCTGGGGGTTTTCCAATATCCTCTTTACTCCATCCACCAGGTGAGAAAGGAATTTGGCTCTTTCTGCATTATTAAATAGGGAGCGGCGTACAGAGGCAATCTGAACTAGACAGGACAGAACCTGGGGTAAAAGACAGTTATATAATTAGCATTTGAAAGAAACAGGGAAATATAGGCAAATAGTGATGGTATGCACAAAACTGATAGTGAAAGGAGAAAGAGCAGATGTAACAAACAGAGGAAAGAGTAGAGGAAAAGAAAGCCAAGCCCAAATCAGAGAGTAAGGACTTGTTTGCAGTCTTGCTGCTACCTTTTACTGCTGTTCTGTATAGTGCCCGTCAGTACAGTTAGTGAATAGAGGCTCTTTACTGACTGACAAATTTCACAAGTAGTGACAGGGTGTAAAATGCAGCTGCCACGTAATCCCTTTAGTTAAGGAGTAGTTAACAGCTTCCATTATTCTCTATGGGAGCCAATAACCGCTCTTTACCGAATGATTACCAACTCTGTTGCAACAGTTTAGGGGCAGTTTAGTTTAGTTTTTAATGTCTCTGGCCTGTTGCAAAGAAGTTAATTACAGCTAACTCCCCCTTACCTGCTATAATAAAATTCTAGCTATATCAAAGAGAAATATAATTTGGAAAAAGGGCCATAAACAAGATGTAAAATAAAATAAAAAAAATAAATAAAATAAAATAAAAAAAAAAAGGAAAAAGGAAAGTATTCTTTACAGACACCCTTAGTCATGCAATATAAAACATTACAGTTTGTATTGCAGAGATAAGACTGTCTATCGTGACTGTCTACCAGATAGCCACAAGAGGTGCTTCCTTCGGTTTCACTGAGTTAATTCTGTGAAACTACGCTGGACATTCTCACGCTTTACAGAAAAACACTTTAGTGTTAGTAATATAAAGTTGTATTATTCCTAACACTATAGTGTTCCTTTACTATGAACTATACAGAAACCAGAAATATACTTTAAAAGATTTAATTTATATGTATCTGGCATAGCACAAAATCACAGTTTGATATGTTGTATACAGTGTTGCTATGTCCTGCTAAAGACATGCATGCTGATAGTGAGCCATTTTTACAGGCAAATTGTAGTTGCTATGATGATAATTTACAACAGCATGTGAAGCTGTGCATCACCAACAATATGCTGACATGAGACTGATAGGTATCTTTTTGAGCAGGGATTTTGGGATACCAGCTGGTAAAAATATTAACATTAGAAACATATTGGTAATTAGTAGCGACAGCTTATGGAAACTATTTGTCCAACAAGACTAGAAACTAGTCATAAGTCAGTAATTATAACAGTGGAGCTCTAATTGACACATGAGAAGAAAAATAAAAGCTGATCATATTATGTCACTCATCCAGAGTGAGAACTTACCAGTGGGGAGAAGTTGGGGGGAATGGAATGATACAGGTCGAAGAAGAGCTGTAGTGTGGAGGAGTCCAGGAAAGCTGAAGAGATGCACACTGGTTAAGTAAATTTCTTTATTATGTACATCTTTCTCATCTCAATATTGAATTGTATCAAAAGTATGTCCATGCAAAGTGTTCCTGTACCTAATCTGTAAACTGCTAGCTCTATGAAAGAAAACCCCCACTCCTATTCTGACATATGCCATCTGAAAATGGATAAGACTCACCTGAGCGCCAGCTAGTAGGGATCTGCACAGTACAGAGGTCATCTGAGGACTCATCTGTAGAAGTACCAATGAAGTCAAAGTTCAGACAATTGTGAGTAAGCTTGAGAAGTTGCATGAGGAGGTCATGCTGAGACCCATCAGAAAGGAGCAGCGACTTCCCTGAGGCCTAAAAAATAATAAGATCCACTAAGTCAAATATATATTTTGTTTGTATTTGATGTAGCTATATAGAGTGGAGTTGGACTTAAAAAGGGCGAATTTACAAAAAAACTAAAATTGATGTAATGTGAGTAGGAAATGTACATTTAGCTTTCACCAATTTCAGTGTATCCTGGGAAATAGAAGATACTGGGATGAAAAAAAAAAAAAAACAATACAAAAAGCAAAATATCAAATCCACACATTTTAAGTTTAAAGGAACATACACCAAAACAACTTAATGAAGCAGTTTTATGCTTAGTTCACTTCTCAATTCTCTGTCATTTAGGGGTTTAAAGGAACAATTTAGCGTTAAAAAGACAGATGTATAACTAGCACTATATTGTCCCTCTGACGTGTCCCTTTAAAAAAAAAAAAAAAGGCAGTGTAACCACCACAACCACCGTTTATGGTCTTTGGCTAAATGTTTATTATTCAGCATAAAAGAAAAAAAAGAAAAAAAAAAAGAAGTCCTGGCACTCTGCAAAACTGCAGAACTCACCCCCATCCCACCCTCCACAAGAGTCCTGTGTGACCAGTCATTAGGCCATGAGAAAACAGAACACATTAAATACATATATACTAGAAAAACAGAACATTCTAAGATTTTTATTTTTTTATATAGCAAACATGAAAGCCAATTCAAATATTAAAAATACCTAGCCATTTGGTGCTAATATGTGCAGAAACCCATTAAAAAAGTAAGGTGAATGCCATCTTGTGGCCAATATTATAAAGTGCATTTAAATTCAGTACTTATTTACATCATATCTAACTGCTTAAAGGGACACTGTAGGCACCAAGACCACTTCAGCCCATTGAAGTGGTCTGGGTGCCAACTCCCATCACTCTTAACCCTGCAAGTGTTATTATTGCAGTTTTTTTTTTTTTTATAAACTGCAATAATCACTTTGCAGGATTAAGTCCTCCTCCACTGCCTGTCTCCCAGATAGCCACTAGAGGGACTTCCAGGTTCTTAAGATGACTTTTGGTCATCTAAATGACGCTGGATGTCCTCACGCCTTGCATGAGGGGAGATTAACATATACTATAGGTATGGTTCTTATTAAATTCACCTGTTTAACACAACCTTGAGCTATTTTGATATGTTGTTTATTAATACAATGGTATTTAAACACGGTGTGTATACATGTATTCTATGGCTTGATAAAGGTCTCCGATAGTGACCAAAACATTGCCTATGTGATATGCTCCATTACAGAAGATGCCAAGCCCTGTATAACCGAGTGCCTGGAACTTACTTTTCTCTTTGCAGGGTTTTAGTGAGTAGTTGGTGCCAACTCCACGGCTTGAAACACCGAACCTCTTAATATGATAATTGTCTACATGTAAGGTTTTATAAAGTGCTGTTCCCTACATTGAATATTGATCTACCCCTTTATCTGTAAACATTTTAATAGAGGTCTAGTGTTTAAAACAGAAATCTCTTTTTTTGTAACAATCTGTTGTCTATACTATATCTTTTACTTCTACCGTAATAAAATGTGCTCAGACAGACACATTTTAGGTCGTTCCCCTCTCCCCACTTATCTTGGGAACACAAGTTTGCTAATTTGGTGGCATCATACTGCTAACTTGGACACAGTCCCTAAACCATAGCAAATGTCAATCTTACTTAACAAGAACACAAATATAAAGCCACATAAACACATGTATATACAGGATTTATATACATATTGTATACAGAGGATTTATGTACATAGAATTGTAAATATATATATACAGTACTTTGATGTGCTTTCACACAAATTATTATACACAAGATTATTATACACATGCCTGTTTCAGAAGGTTGCAGGACAGAGTGAAGATATCAAAAAGAGAGGAGTCTCTGAAAGATGAGGCAATTTTACGGTGTTTGGTCAGGGGATGAGTGGCATCTGCCTGTGGAGGAATGAACACATTTATTTTAAGACACACTCAAGCATAATAAATTTATATAGTCACTCATGTACGCTGCTGGAGGAAGGCACATAGCCAGTCTGACTTCCTCCATTACAAAGTCATGTTGCGTTCATACAGCACAGCCCTTGCAAAACAGTCATACTTTTCCTCCCTCAGCTCATGCTCCTGCAATCCCAGTCATCTTTTCAATGCCTTTACTCCCTTCTTTTCCCTGCTGTGGCCACCCCCCCAAACTAACCTTACAGCCAATAGCTTTGCATGCTACTTTACCGACAAGATTGAACAGCTAAGGAAAGAATTCTCCCCACCATGCCCCTCTCTTTCTCAACTACACTTAGGTCATGCCTTTCCTATCCTTCAGACTTTCTCCCAGGCTACTGAAGTGAAGAAGTGGCTGCGCTTCTCCTTTCCACTTGACCCACCACTTTCCTGCTTGATCCTGTACCATCTCACCTTATCAGATCTCTCTCCTCTTGTCTTGTGCCTCCCTTAACACACATCTTTAACTGCTCTCTCTCTTCTGGTGTTGTCCCTGCTGCCCTTAAACATGCTACTGTAGTACCCTTCTTAAAAAAAAAACAAAACAACCCCCTTCCCCCCCAAAAAAAACAACCCACAGTGTGTCTCTAATTAGACATTTTCGTTGCACCATCACCACGCACTTTATTACCACATGGTAATTTATATGAAGACTCGCTAAGTACTGTTGTTGATCAATTATTTTTAATGTAAAAAAAATTAAAATAATAAAAGATTCTAAGATCTTAAGTAACTGAATTTTCTGCAAATAAAAAAAAAAAATAATTAAAAAAAAAAAACAGACTTTACTGCAGTTATTAAACCAGGAAGTGATGCATACCAACTTCCTATAACACTGCAGAACTAATACCCAAATAAATTTTTTTATGACACAGCAGAGGTTTCTGTGAATAGAAGTTCAATTTTATGCCTTCTCAAGTAGAACTACAGTTCTCAGAAGCATATGAATGAGGTTTGTTCTAGTAATATTTTTGTAAGCACATTTACCTTATGGTGAAAGTATTAAAGAGACACTATAGTTACCCAGACCACTTCAGCTCAATTAAGTGGTCTGGATGCCAGGTCCCCCAGGTTTTAACCCTTCAGATGTAAACATAGCAGTTTCAGAGAAACTGCTATGTTTACATTGCAGGATCAATCCAATCTCTAGTGGCTGTCTTTCGAACAGCCGCTAGAGGCGCTTCTGTGACACTGAATGCGAAAAATCGCATTCGGTGTGCAGAACGTCCATAGGAAAGCATTGAGTATTTTTTCCTATGGACTGTTTAAATGCGCGCTTGGCTCTTGTGAATGCTTTCCTATGGACTGACTGAAGGCGCGTACGGCTCGTGCTGCGCATGCACATTCAGCCGGGGAAGAGGAGGAGAGTTCCCCGCCCGGCGCTGGAGAAAGAGGTAAGTTTAACCCTTTCCTCCCCCTAGAGCCCGGCAGGAGGGGGACAAGCATGTTTTTCTGGCACTATAGTGGTCCTTTAAGCTCCACCCGGGAGCTGACGTCGGCGGGGGAGGAGAGGTCACCAGCACCGAGGGAGCCCGGCGCTGGATTAAGGTAAGTAACTGAAGGGGTTTTAACCCCTTCAGCGCCAAGGGAGGGGAAGTCCTAAGGATGATATAGTATCAGGAAAACAAGTTTGTTTTCCTGACACTATAGTGATCCTTTAAACTTTAGTATAATTCTGAAATATCACGGCTTTTTCCTCTATGAAAGGAACACAGTCTTGCCCAACCTACCTAAACTAGGCAACCTGAATAATTAAAGGCACTATGAAAAAAAATACTCACTCATTCTGTTTTTTGCCTTTTACTTTTTGTCATTTTATCTCTATCTTGGATGCTTTTGCTACGCAAACGGTATGGGGGAGAAAATCCTTCTCAATTGCTTTTAGTAGCAACCCAGCTGGGGCCAGGTAACCAATACTAGAGCGAGGAAAATCACCTTTTGTCACTGTCTCGGAAGGGGTGTGACATGACCACAATGGCGTATGAAAGAAGCCTACACCTGGTAAATGCATTTTGTTATGAAAATCTAAACACCTGCATCTGTTTTTAACTGTATTACATTTTCTTTTTTAAGTGTTATGACATTGTGAAAATCGAGTACTGTATGTAAAGCTAAACTCACAATGTACTATGTTATCAAATTAGTACCTGACAAAAAGAAAGAAGAAAAAAAAAAAAAAGAGGGAACAATATAGTCAGCCAAACCATTTAATTTCTATGAAGTTGACTGAGTACAGAGGTGGAGTTATTGTAACCATGCAATGTTTACACTACTGGGCTAAATTTAACTCTAGTGGATGTCTTTCTGAGAACCACTATAGGCGCTTCCTCTTAGACTGAATAAAACTATCTGGATATCAAAAGCTGCTGATTTAATTGAAGTGTAGCGTTTGGCTGTACATACCAAGTTCCAACCCAGTGTCAGACTGCGAAAACAACCCAAAAGTAACCAATGGTGATTCATCTATGGTCTGCATGCACACTATATATTTTGTAGGAAGCCAACAGAGCGTTTAAAACACAGTGTTTTCTCAATAATCTATTTCAAAACACACACTTTTTTATTTATTTATTTATTTAAACATTTAATAGCCATTTCCCCTCCCCCAAATGAGGCTATATAATTCAAGACTGATTTATTAATGCACAAATAAGGAAACATATTGCCGTATTAACAATATACATGGAAATATTTATATCAGAGCATTTAGTGGTGGTCACTCACCTGGTTGATTTCATTGGTGAGTTGTGATAAAATACTAACTCCAATCACACAATAATCCACACTGTCCTAAAGAGAGACACAAAGCTATTAGTTACAGTGACTGAAACCAGTATTATAGAGCACCATAGACATTCTTCATGTGTCTGATAGAAATAGCAGCAAGTATTGTGACAAAATGATTTCAGCCTTATTTAGATACTATGTTAGAAAATGGTGTAAAAATGGTCCAAAGCATGGACTAATAAACAGCATATTCAAAGATCTCAAATATTTAAATATAATTTGGCTTATTTTCCAAAAAAACATGAACATTTAAGAACTCACTACATTAGACAAACATATTTTAATGTGTAACTGCTATTTAGGGATTAATACAGATACTCAACATGTTTGACAAAAGAAGGTATTATGTGAGGCACTCTAGGTTAACGAACTGAAATTGCAACACTCAGTGACTTCTGACCTGCAGGAAGCGTGTTACATCCACAATGACGCTCCTGAACACATAATCCTCTTTCTGACAGTCAAACCAGCCAAGTTTCGTGATTCGGGCATAGAGCTGGATCAGAGCCTGGGTAACAAATGAGGCAAGCTTGGGTCTCGTAGCCAAGTATGTCAGCACGTAGTTCCCTGTTAGAGAAGACAATCAAATCAGAACTTTCACATGCAGGGCACAGGAAAAACATTGACGCATGGATATCACTAAAGAGAGAGCCGCCATCTTCTGTGAAAATATCAATCACCTTTTGTACCAATGTAAACATTTCAGTAAGTTCTTGTCCATTTATATATATCAAGATAATTTCTTAAGGAAAAAAAAAATATTAAGCACTTAAATCATATATGACATTTTCCTTCTCCTTGCTGCTTATCTTTTTTTTCCCAAAAACAAGGATGTTTGGGAGATCTGCAGCCCTGCAATTGGGGTCTAATAGATGTGAACTGTGTGTTTATGCTTTGCCAACAGAGACAGTTTCAGGTTTTCTACCACAAAAGTACACCTGTATTCATGCATAGGGCTGGTAGGATGTGACATTATCACTGCACACTGACTTGGGATACTGCTCAGGAGATGAAGGAATCCCTGCAGCTTTCTCTGCTGCAAACACACACACACACAATAATTCAGCATCCTTGAAACTTCCAGGGGCTGTTAAAAAAAAAAAAAATCTCTCCTGAACCCTGCTTGCAAACTAACACCATTTCAAGTCCCGTTTTTGAGTACCAATTGATTTGTTTAACTTTGGCAAACTATGAAACTGCTCAAGAATATGTTGATTAGGAAGGTGTTAAATATTACCTTTTGATTAGTTTCTATATAGAAATATAACCATAAATACATTCTATTGTTCTAAATGCACAGTAACCCTGTACAAATTTACAACATTTGTAAATTGAGCACTTTAAATGTCAGTTTTAGCTTCATAACAAGAAACATTCACCCCCTCCAACTTTTTGTATTAAATTTCAAATGAAATGAGCAGTTTATAAGGAAAAGGCAAAGTAGGTGCATGCTGGAAAGGTAGATATAAAGCAGAAAGAGTTGTGCAAGTACAAAATAGTTTTTCTTTCTACCTCTTTAAATGTCAGTGAAACAGCTGATTATTTTTAACCAAGTTTTTGAAACTTTTTGACAGTGTTTTCAAACTAGTGAGAATCTTTCTCAGGACCAGTTTTCAGCAACATCACATTATTCCGGTAAGTCACTGGTCCTGCAAAATTGCTAATGAATAGTCAGGTATTCCTAAGCTAATTAGATAGGTAAGCATTAAGGATAATGAATCAGAATGGTGGAAGCATGCCAGTACAAATATTTGGAACATTCTGGTATTACCAAGAGATGATTATTAGATTTTGTCACTGCTAGACTCTAAAAATAAACAATTAAGCCACTCAACTACAATGAGCAAGAAAGTCTCAGACAGAAATGAAATGTACTTACGGATATCGATCCTCTGTTCCAGTGGAAGGGGATTGCTGCTCCTTGACACCAGTTTGGTCAGGCAAGTAGCAGCCAGAAGCTGGGAGTATGAGGACTGGAAGAAGAAGAAGAAAAAAAAAAAAAAAGCAAATTAGAAACTTTCTTCATAAAATGACATTTACCACGGCAACACTCCGCTCGGCATACCAGTCTCAAAAGAGTTGGAGAGAGGAGCTTACGGAAACAGAAGATAGCGAATGCTGGATCCCGGCCATCCCCTCTAAAATGTGAAACCCCCTGGAAGCCAACATACACCCAGCCAATGAACCACCAGGGAGTGTAATATCCCCTTCCTAGCCACAGATGATAAAAAAATAAAATAAAAAAATAAAAACCACCAACATACTTTCTTGTATACATAGGCCACCAAGGGTACTTGACTTAAATCATAAAATAATTTCAATTAAAATAGAATTATTTTTTTTTTACATTTTGTAGACACCCCCCTCTCAAAAAGAAAGCATACATTAGTAATCAAATATCTTATAGCCACCAAGGACAGGGCTGGCACTGAAAGGCAAACTGAGTATGTTAAAAGCAACAGAAGAAAGGATCACTGTTCCAATTTGATGACTTGTGCAGTGCGAATTTACAAAGGCTCAGGGGTAGCCATAGGTCAAGCTGCTTCTGCATTTCTTGAGCAGGAGCAATGAATATCAGTTATTACTAGCGGCCAAGCATCATGATTTAGTAAGTTTAATATGGAACCCTGAGATGGATACAAATGACAATATCTGGGGAACACAATCAATTTCTCCATATATAAGGGAGCAGACATTCTAATATTAAGTGCCTTGCAAGCTAATGGAATTAACTCATACAATGCTGGTAAGGAGGTTAAAAAAAAAAAAAAAAGCGTGCAGGTAGAACAGGGAATGACAAATGTCCCTAGAATTTAGCAGTCAGGCAAAATTGCTACTTACACACATACCAAACCATTTACACACACACACACACTGAACCATTCATGCACTCGTTCATACAGGCAGATACCAATTCACACATACATACACAAACACATATACACTTTCTACAATTAATGCACTCGCGGCCATTGCCACCCATGCGCATTAGGTGTCCCCCGCCGGCTGGGGAGAACCATGGGCGGACATCGGCGCTGGATTCAGGTAAGTGGCTGAAGGGGTTTTAACCTGAGGTAGGTGGGCAGTCTAGGAGCCTACAGTGCCAGGAAAACAGGTTTGTTTTCCTGGCACTATAGGATCCTTTTAACCAAAGTGAGAACTGGAGAAATTTAAAGTGAATTTCTAATTTATGGCCAAAATATCTGAATTATGAAGAAAAAAAAAAAAAAGGCAGCTATGTGACTACTTCAGCTATTTTGGTCTAAAATGTGATAGATATTCACTTTTGAATTTGCAAAATTCTCTCTTGAGTAAATAATTCTGATTGTGTTTACGTGTTATCTCTACCTCTGTTGGTTGAACTTAAATTATACAGAGGCGGCTGCTGCAGGCAATTAATAGAGCATGAGAAACATTCTAAATTAAACACACTGCGATGAGGCAAGTTTAAACATTATTTATCTTCTTCAGGATGTGTGTAGGGAGGTTGTGTCAGTCGTACCAGGGAGAGAACTGTGGCAGCATAAACAAAACGGCTTTAACCCCTTAAGACCGCAGGGCGTTCTATGCCTCCCACGTGGCCAGCGGCACATGGCCGCTGCAGATCGCATCATTCACATCAGGCAATGCTTCTTGTGAAAAGCAAACCCAGAACTAGTGTGTGTTTTTTTATAGGGCAGCTGTAACCAACACCTCCAATCTCATCTCATTGATTGGACTCCAGTTGGCTGACATCTCACTCCAATTAGCTCTTGGAGATGTCATTAGTCTAGGGTTCACATACTTTTCCACCTGCACTGTGAATGTTTACATGGTGTGTTCAATAAAAACATGGCAACATTTCATTCTTTGTGTGTTATTAGTTTAAGCAGACTGTGATTGTCTATTGTTGTGACTTAGATGATGATGATCAGATCACATTTTATGACCAATTTGTGCAGAAATCCATATCATTCCGAAGGGTTCACATACTTTTTCTTGCAACTGTATATACATACACACACACACATATATTATATATATATATATATATATATATATATACACACACACACACATACATACATACATATATACACACACACACACGTAATTTTACATAATTAGGTCCCTTTATTAATTACAATTTGCGGTATCTGCCTGACAACCCAGGCCGAAAGTATAGGGAATTTAATTTGCTAGCACTTTATTTAACCCGATAACTTTCCAAGACACCAAAAAACCTGTACATGGGGGGTACTGTTTTACTCGGGAGTCATCGCTGAACACAGCGATGATATTGTCAGTGAAAGTGAAGTTTTTTGCATTTTTCACACACAAACAGCACTTACACTGACGATATTGCTGTAATGCTTTTTACTATTTTGAAACACATTTGTGTTCAGCAAAGTCTCCTGAGTTTAACAGTACCCCTCATGTACAGGTTTTTAGTGTTTTCAAATGTTACAGAGTCAAATATAAGGCTTGCGTTTCAGTTTTTTCACATTGAAATTTGCCAGATTGGTTACGTTGCCTTTGAGACCGTATGGTAGCCCAGGAATAAGAATTACCCCAATGATGGCATACCATTTGCAAAAGTACACAACCCAAGGTATTGCAAATGGAGTATGTTCAGTCTTTTTTAGTAGCCACTTAGTCACAAACACTGGCCAAAATTGGCATTCAAATGAGTTTTTTGCATTTTTCACACACAAATATTAAAGGACCACTATAGTGCCAGGAAAACACTCGTTTTCCTGGCACTACAGTGCCCTGAGGGTGCCCCCACCCTCAGGGTCCCCCTCCCGCCCGGCTCTGGGGAGAGGAAAGGGTTAAAACTTACCTTTTTTCCAGCCCCGGGCGGGGAGCTCTCCTCCTCCTCTCCGATCCTCCCTTTCGGCTGAATGCGCACGCGCGGCAAGAGCTGCGCATGCATTCAGCCAGTCTCAAAGGAAAGCATTTACAATGCTTTCCTATGGACGCTTCCGTGTTCTCACTGTGATTTTCACAGTGAGAATCACGCAAGCGCCTCTAGCAGCTGTCAATGAGACAGCCACTAGAGGATTTGGAGGCTGGATTAACCCTATTATAAACATAGCAGTTTCTCTGAAACTGCTGTGTTTATAAAAAAAAAAAAAGGGGTTAATCCTAGAGGGACATGGCACCCAGACCACTTCATTAAGCTGAAGTGGTCTGGGTGCCTAGAGTGGTCCTTTAACATTAACTTTGGCTAGTGTTTGTGACCAAGTGGCTACTAAAAAAGACTGGACATACATCATTTGCAATACCTTGGGTTGTTTCCTATTGCAAATGGTATGCCATCATGGGGGTAATTCTCATTCCTGGGCTACCATACAGTCTCAAAGGCAACGTAACCAAACTGGCAAATTTCAATGTGAAAAAAAACTGAAAAGTGTAACATGCTATATTTGACCCTGTAACTTCCCAAAACACCATAAAACCTGTACATAGGGGGTACTGTTTTACACGTGAGACATCGCTGAATACAAATATGTGTATTTTATTGCAGTAAAAGCAAACAATATTTTGACATTCACAGTTAAAATGTCACATAGAGAAAATTGCTACCAGAAGGGCATAAAACGCACTAAATGCCTAGACAGGAACACCCAAGCAATATATGTTAACCCATAAAATGTTGCTGTTAGCTTTTCTATTTTTCTTAATACATGTTAACGTAATGTTATTGTAAACTAATGCTCAGCCTCGTCACAGCCGTTGGGGCATGACGAGCTCATGTATTGTTTCTTTATGCAACTAAAAAATAAAGAATTATAAAAAAAATTTAAAAAAATTCTTATTTTCTCCCATTTTTTATTCATATTAAATTATGTTCCATACCTAAATATTTAAAGTAAAATGAAAGTCCTGTTTCCCCTGAATAAAATGATATATAATATGTATGGGTGCATTTATTATGAAAGAGGTAAATTACGGTTGGACAGACATATAGCGCAAATGCCAGGTTTTGTTTTGATCACAACTTGTACATTTGGCTGCGGTCTTAAGGGGTTAATTCATAAGTAACAGAAAATTGAAAAGCGAGTCGACAGAGGCAAAACCAAGCTAAATTTGTTTTGGGGCTGAGAGGATCTTTTTAACATTACTTGCGAATGATGTCCCATTATTCCAAGATAAAAGAGTAATTACTAACCTATGAGAAAACATCCTGATAATTCTACACATGCAAACTCTTAAAGCACCACACTTACACTGCCTCTCTCCAGGAGCAGTTGGCACTTGCTCAGACACTCTGGGCTGTTTGTAAACTCCACTAGAGCCTTCTCTGCTTGCAAACGTGTGCTGGTGTCTGTTGTCTCATATAGCTGCTTGCACAGGATCTCTAGCTGAGCTAGACTCTAACAAAATAGAAAATCAAAAAAGTCACATCATGCAATACAAATAACATCATAACCATCACGAGACATTGACCAGAATATGTACTCTACAAGTGACTTGACAACTGTGAATTAAATGAAAAACACATTTGATCATAAAATCCCTTATTGTGTTATTCAGTACCTTAACCCCTTAAGGACACATGACATGTGTGACATGTCAGGATTCCCTTTTATTCCAGAAGTTTGGTTCTTAAGGGGTTAAAGAGACTCTATAGTCACCAAAACAACTTTAGCTTAATGAAACAGTTTTGGTGTATAGATCTCTGTGCTCAATTATCTGCCATTTAGGAGTCAAATCACTTTGTTTACGAACCCTAGTCACACCTCCCTGCATGTGACTTGCACAGCCTTCCATAAACACTTTCTGTAAAGAGCCATCTAATGTTTACCTTCCTTTATTGCAAGTTCTGTTTAATTTAGATTTTCTTATCCCCTGCTATGTTAATGGCTTGCTAGACCCTGAAGAGCCTCCTGTATGTGATTAAAGTTCAATTTACAGAGCAAGAAATAAAAAAAAAATTGTTTAACCCCTTAAGGACCAAACTTCTGGATTAAAAGGGAATCATGACATGTCACACATGTCATGAGTCCTTAAGGGGTTAAGGTAAATTACATCTGATTGAAAGTGAAACCAGTTTTTTTTTTTTATGCAGGCTGTGTCAGTCAGAGCCAGGGAAGGTGTGGCAAGTGTTTTATAAACAGAAACAAAGTGATTTAAGTCCTAAATGGCAGTGAATTGAGCAGTGAAACCTGAGAGGCATGATCTACACACCAAAACTGCTTCATTAAGCTCAAGTTGTTTAGGTGATTATAGTGTTCCCTTTATATAGGCTATGTTGGAAGCAGAGCGGGTGGTTTACTTAATTTGGCATACAGCTCATGCAAAAGGTTCCACTTAAATTGCTTTACAGCAACTACATTTCAGACTTTACAGTGACACTATAGGCACCAAAACAACTTCAGCTTAATACAGCAGTGTTGGTGTATAGATCATGGTCCTTCAGTCTCATTGCTCAATTCTATTCCATTTAGGAGTCAAATCACTTTATTTATACAGCCCTAGTCACGCCTCCCTGTGTGTAACTTGCTTCCTAAACACTTCCTGTAAAGAAAAGCAATGTTTACACCTCCTTTACTGCACATTCTGTTTCATTCTATTGCAGGGTTTACTCCACCTCTAGTGGCTGTCTTCCAGACAGCCACTAGAGGCACGTCCTGGCTATTCCTGGAGTTCAACTCTGGAACCTGCAAAAGGATGTCCTTGCATTTTGTATGAGAATGTTCAGTGTCATCATATCCCCATAGGAAAGCATTAAAGGGACTCTCCAGGCAAAATTTTTTACTCACCTGGTTCCAGCGCCGGGAGCCTCGAGAAGCCGCGCCCCCTATTTTGTCAAAAATGACGAAATAAGCGGGCGCGAGCAGGGAGCAATCAGACGCTTCCATTTGGAAGCGTCATTGCTCCCTTGTGCGCATGCGCGGCTTCTGAAGTCCTGAGCGCACTACCGCGCGCGGTCGCGAGCTGAGCTGACAGCTCGCGGTCTTTGCCCGCCCCCTCTCCTCTGCTGACAGGCAGAAGAGAGAAGGCGCGCACACAGTGCCTTATCTCTCCTGCACACGTCAGACGTATTTTAATACGTCTGACGTGTACAAGACCTTTTTAGGGCCCTGCATGATGGGAAGTCCCTCTGGTGGCCGTCTGAGTGACGGTCATTGGAGGTATTCCTATCAATCAATGTAAACACTATATTTTCTCTGAAAATACAGTGTTTACATTAGATTGCCTGCAGGGAGCTATAGATCATACCTGAAAAACTACATTAAGCTGTAGTTGTTCAGGTGACTATAGAATCCCTTTAATTCAATGATTTCCTATGGAACGTAATGCATGTGCATTATTAGTCAGAGAAAGATTAGAAGGCACTGGAAAGGTGTTTACTGAGTTATTCCTAACACAATAGTGTTCATTTAAACCATTTTTTCATGTAGGCTGTGTCAGTGGAGGTGTAGCTAGGGCTGCATGCACAGAAACAAAAGTGATTTACCTCATAAACAGCAGAAAGTGAGCAGTGAAACTGCAGGGAGATAATCTATACACTAAAGCTGCTTTATTAAGCTACAGTTGTTTTAGTGCCTATAGTATCCCTCCAAATTTGCATGTCAGTCTACCTGCTTTACTGTAAACTCAACTATGCTCTTAAGAAACCGCTTGTTTCCTAAAGTTATTTGCAAGAAAGGAGCACGCTTACCTAAAGGATATAGTTCAATTTGATTGAGAAATTGTTATAAAAAGAACAGAGTGGTATGGCTCTCATGATCTCCGATTAAAGAGAACCAATCATGCCCCAAACAACTTAGGCGCATTAATTTGAGAATAATATTTTATCAATACATTGTGCTAGCAGTTTTACAAACTATGTATAGTTAGAAGGGAAACAAAAAAAACATTTAAAAATAGGTTTTTCTCCCAGCTGTCAGTTAATGCCTTGGCGTGCTGAGGAACTGAATGACAAGGAGGAGCAGAAAAGACCTGCCACAAGAAGTCCCTCTGCTCTCATCCCATAGCAACCACAGTGCATGTCCTGTGGTTACTATGGAAACTCCCTAGCCAGTGCTTCTAGCAGGCTAAGGAGTATAGGAACGGAGTGATGCAACACAGCCAGGGTGCCGATGTCACTGACGAAGTTCCCCCTGTCTGGGGGTGCGTTCCAAGCAGAGCAATCAAAAACATTTTGGGAGGAGCTGAGGCGGAGCACGGCCCGTGGGTGGGTGATATGCAAAGACTAACACCCACGAAGCAGCACTGGAAAGGAGGAAAAGTGAATAAATATATATTTTACATTGTATACATCTCTCAAAACAATTGCAACATGTTTGAGAATTGTTAAATTAACACTATAACTTTAGGAATACAAATCTGTATTCGTCACTGAAAGGTTAAAAAAAAAAAAACACCCCTCTTTACTTACCTTGTTACTAGTGAAAAGTCTTACTCTGTCTGTATTCCTGACTCTACAGTGTTTAAAAACACTATTAAGGTGGCCGCCCACTTTAAATGGGGTTAAATCTTACCTTTTTTTAAGCACCTAGCAGGTTGGCCGGTGCCTGCTCCACCCACACCCTGCCTCCTTGGCTGAGATATTTAAAATTGACAATGTCAGCCAATCCAATGCTTCCCAAACACCTCGCTTGCCAATCTGCATCTCCTCGTAGACATGCATCAAATCAATGCATTTCTCTGATGAATGCTCAGCGTCTCCATGCATCTCTATGAGGAATGTTCAGTATTTCCATGTAGAGCGTGGAGAAGCTGAACGTAAGAGCTGCCCATTTTGCAGCACTGACCCAGGAAACATCTCTAGTGACCGTCTGAGCGACTGCCAGGTGTTACTAGGCAGTAATGTAAACACAGCCTTTTCTCTGGAAAAGCAGCATTTAGATGAAAATGCCTACAGGAACATACATTAAGCTGCAGTTTACAGGGACAGGAACACTGTACCCATACCGCTTAAAGGGAAACTCCAGGTACCTAGACCACTTCAGCTAACTGAAGTGGCCTGGGCGCCGTGCCCCTATTGCACTTAGTGCTGCAATATACATTGCAGCTCTAAGTCTGCCCCCTGTGGCTGTCTATCAGAAAGCCACTAGAGGGCTTCTGGAATCCAAACCAACCTTTGGTCGGTTATCTGATGCTGGACGTCCTCACGGACCTCCAGCGTCATATTTTCCTCATAGGAAAGCATTGAATAATGGGGAGGTCTAACGCGTGCATGCCGCCATTGCTGAGCATACGCGGAGCCTGACCCAACACCGTAGGACATCAGCGCTGGATTCAGGTAAGCGACATAGGTGGGGGGCACTGCAGGATCCTGCAGTGCCAGGAACACGGGTTTGTTTTTCTGGCACTGTAGAATCCATTGAATTGAGATAAAGTGGTCTGGGTGACTAAAGTGTTCCTTTAACTACATGAATCAACAGATTGGCCTCATTACAGACACTTGATGGGGCCACCCCATGCAAGAGATTACATTCTTGACAGTAGTGCATTTAAAGGGGCACAATATGAATTAATTGACTCAAATATTAATGCACGGAATACATAGTGCATTTGAAAATGCGTACACAAAAGGAAAAAAATTAAAAAAAATACCTTCACACTTCGTAGAATGGACAGCACTTACAGAACAATGCAGCAGGTAGACACCATAGGGGGCCTCTAATTCTGGAGTAAGGATTTTTATAATAAACCCACCTAACATGGCTTAATGGGGCATGTCTATTAACCCCCCCCCCCCAAAAAACAAAAGAACAAGCTAGTGGCAGCCATACCAGTCATGCTACTACTGTTTATAGTTTGTAAAAAAGACTGTGTGCAGCAATCATATGAGTATGCAGCTGTTTTTCAGGCTCTCTTCAAAATGAGAGAAGAAATGTTCATGCAGGCTGTGTATGCAGATGCATACAAAAGTTTACAGAGGCTGGGTACTACAAGGGAAGCCCGACAGTCTTACAGCTGCTATGATTTTAAACATTGCAAAGGTTGGCAATTACATGAACCAAAGTAGTACCTACTTAGTCTCTTGTATAGCTTTTAAATGTGCAGGCAAATACAGCCTTTCATAAAGATTATTTTTGAAAAACTCTTAATTTACAGGGCCGCTTTTAGTTAATAGAGCCATATTTTATTAAAGCGACTGTCACGTCTCAGAATTTCATGTACACTTTATGAAATACTGATGCTGAATGCATTGGAATTTCATTGAAAATCTTACACATTTCAAGGATACCATAAGAATTACAAAGTAGGGAATAATTTTTTTTACGGGCGAGCCTGAGATTGGCAAAAGTGGACAAAAGGCGGAGCTTTGTCATCAACATTTGTCCAATCCCAGCCGCTGTCACAAGTGATGGTTGTGGGATTAAGGCATGGTCTCACTCATCGCAGGGGTTCGCCGTAGACCTCAGTGTTACAAAGCATGGATGCAGCTCCTGACAAATTAGCCAGGAGCCAAAATAGAACATAAAAGGGTTACTTAAAGCAAAAAGACCACTTCAACAATTTGAAGAGGTTATGGTGTCTGGAGTCTGTATGTGCAGAGTTTCGCTATGAAAAGCTGCACGTACAGTTAACACCTCTGCTGCTGGTGGTGGTATAACTACATCAGCACAGTATCACATGGGTGTCATCAGCCAGCCTGAAACTGATGACAACCTGAATATATAATAAACTTCACATTCCCCATAATACATAAACATCCCATTACTCTCCTTTGTAATACAGACCATATGTATAACTGGTCTATTCCACAAAAAAAACACAACCATGAATACATGCAGCCACTGGGCTCCCAGGACAGTTACACTTTTATACACTGCCCATGTTTCTTCTAGTGCTAGATGTCATGCATAGCAACACAAAGCATTGCATGCAATATGACCTCTAATAAACAAACTTTATTAAAGTTGTAATTGCTGTTTAATATATTAAAGGAAAGGTTTCATGTGATTAGCTGAACTTTTAACCTCAATATTTTTGGGGGGTTTTTGAATTTGAAGTGAGATTTAAATACTAATGATACATGTGAAAAAGGGGGTCAGAATGTTCAAAAGAGTGTATGTATTTTTATGATAAGAAGATAACACCTCATGTGGACGCCCTGTCCTATCTGTGCACCCCAGATAAGTAAGAAAGTGTAAAGATAAGTGGGTGAGAGTTGTGGCAGGGTGACACAGCACTCAAACAATGCACCTTCATTTTGAACGCATGCCCGATGAAACACTTAACACCCACTGGAACACAAACAAAAGACCATAATCCTGGACAACCTCACCCCATATTATTCCTTCACCTAAATAGGGAATTTGCCAAGAAGTCAAATACTGAACTTAAACTCATTTCTACAAAGCACATTGTCCGAACTAAATTATAGTAATGTTGCTCAGCCAGTCAACATCAGCTTAGTCCCCGTGTTCCCCTGCTCTTGGTCAGTGTGTGTGTACACCCACCAGAGACAAATAGTTTTGGGGTTTTTACAAACTCAGCATGTGTCCTGTCCGCGCTGCTATCACAATAACATCACTACTTATTTGCATGCTTTGCCTGTTACTGAAATGTCAAATCAGCATGACTGGTCACAAACTCCGCCCCAGGAATGCAAAGTGACAGTTTACACAAAACTACCTTTAACAGTTAATTTTAAACCAGCAAACCAGTTAAAAGTAATGCCAACATGACACATAATGTACTATGTGCTTATTTAATAACAAAAAGGAGGTTTACCGCCAGATGAAACGTGGGCTTTAGAGAAAACTCAATGCAATTTCAAATAGTTCACACTTTTTCAAACTTGGAAAAACATTAACAATTTAATAGATTTGCTATTACAGTAAAATAAAGGCAGCCAAGTCTAGTTTTTAATAGTTTTACACAGTACTAAGGATGTAGCTCTTCTCTGAAATAATAATCATAGCTTGTCTATATGGTACAATATTTTATCAGTTTACTAACTCCTGACACCTGTGTTTTCACAGCTCCAAGCACCATAGCCCCTACAGCCTTCTGTAGTGTTTTAATGGCACCAGGAGTAACCTGGTACCCTGCAACAGTAACTAGTCAAACAAAATGATTTGACACCTTACCTGGGGGTCCACCCCCTCTGCAGCTGGAAAACATGTCCGGTAGCTCAGTGGAGCCAACTAAAGCTCCTTGGAGCAGAAGGGAGTGGGTTCCTGTCAGACAACCAAACTGTAGCATCTATATAGCCATTTTGAAGGACATGTTGCATAAAGAGGGTAAATCACAAAACCAGGAATTATGGATCAACGGAACTGTACATTTTAGATCATAATAGGTGACTCCGGTATTTTCGCCACAAATTGGCAATGCCCACATTTTCAGGTATAGGGAACAAACCAAAGTCTTCCTCTGAGCTGTAGTAATTTACAGACACATCACAACAATATACACTGGTACAATCTGAATGATTATTCTTGAAATTATATATATATATATATCTCATTGTGTGAAGTTTGCAAAGAATTTAAAATATCTCTCAGGTTTCCTGTTTAACAGATGAACATTCGCATTTCCTTTTACTATAAGTGTTCTGTAATCTCGCTGGTCTCCCAAGCCAATGCTTTACCTCCTCCCATTAGTATACCCTAATATTTACTTATAAGGTATGTTACATTTCTGCAGCATTAATGTCATGTACATAACTGTCAACAATTACAGAAATGTATTTCCTTACAATAGTGTGTGTGTAATATATATATATATACACATACACACACCTGTTGATTAAAATGTTACACCCACTGTCTGTCACGTAGATAAAGTCCTATAGTGATTAAACACACTTCTGCAATAAAACTGCAATGGCAATGTTCAACTACCTGATCTGACATTTCTACCTTTAAATGTCAAGGTGTACACATGCTCTTATACAAAAATCACAGTTTCTAAATATTTATTTGAAATATTATTATAATGGTGAAGAATGCAAGCACAGATTTACATTTTTTTTTTACATTTGCAATTAAGGTTGTAGGCAGGTATAGTCATTTTATATTCTGGGGGTAGACAATAAGGAGACTCAATGTCTAATAAAAGACACATAGGTTAGCAGCATGACACCTGTCAGGAGGTCACTCACACACACACACACACACATGCAAACAGTTGTATTCATAATCATAATACAGTCACACTTTAAAATGTGACTAGTGCACGCATATAAATGCAGTTTGTGGTGTAGTTATAGCAGAGTGTGGTGTGTTTGATCATACAATATGTACATTAGGGGCCCTGAACACACACACACACAGTTTTCTTAGGAGATCCAGGCTCAGCACACTGAGTGGCAGCACTCACAGACACCATGTCTGAGTGCACACAGCGGCTGTATGGGTGTATGGCTGTATGGGTGTATTGGTGTAAACATGCCAGCCGGCGGTGCAGCTCCCACGTTCCCTGTGTGTTTATCCAGGAGCTGTACCCACAGCAGGCCTCATGCTGCTGCTGCTGCCTGGCTCTCTGCACTCTCCCTGTGTGTCTGCCCGCAGCCGCCGTAAAGCGACACGCTGCGCAGCCCCTGCCTCCCCGGCACAGCATGCATTCCCTCTTACACGGCCAAGTGTCATCCCAGATCCTGAATATCCCCCTCACCTGCACAGGGTCCGCCATCTTGCTCCATTCATGCTCCTCTGTGTCCCCCCCCACTGGAACGTAGAGCGCACGCGCGAGCGCTCATTCAACGGTCTGCGCATGCCCAGCCAGGGATCCCCGCAACCATAGACAACAGAGGCGGGGCTAAAAAGCGGCGGTCTCCTGGTAGAGATGTGGGTTACGGGCGGCCATTTTGGTAAAGGGAAAACTGTTTTGCAAACAACCATTTTGGAATCGGGCAATGTTAGGAAAGGGTAAGCGTAGCAGGAGGACGTCTGCAGACGTGCGACCATTTAGAAAAAGGGAGGAAAGTGGCGGGCGGCCATGTTGGGGGGGATTGGGGAAAGGTGGTCCTAAGCTAGTTTGCCACCCCCCCTCCCCCCTAGTTTTTAATCGATATTTTGTTGCCATCTTAACCCTATGAGGGCCAGGACAATTGTTCAACCTTGGAGCCAAAACAAAGCCTACAATGTGTTTATTAAATAATAATTTCCTGCCTTATTATTATCGCCATTTATATAGCGCCAACAGATTCCGTAGCGCTTTACAATATTATGAGAGGGGGGGCATGTAACCATAAATAGGACAATTACAAGAAAACTTACAGGAATCATAGGTTGAAGAAGACCTGCTCAAACCAGCTTACAGTCTATCCGCACTTATTGGCTATATCTCGGGACAGATTGGACTTTCTGTTGATTCCTTATATGTATACATAATACAACATGGAGTATAAATAAAACATATTTAAAAATGAGAAAAATATGAGGTTTGCTGGTAATACTTTCTACATAACAAGTGCAACTAAACAAAAAATAAGGTTATTAGTCCAGATTGTTAAATACATTATTTAAAATTTATTTTTTTGGCAATTATAGGGCAAATGTTACAAGGAATGTATTATGGTTTTGAAACTTTTTTTTTTTCAAAAGCTTTGAAAAATAAGTTTACAACTTTAATAGTGTTCACAGAATGCAACACAACTCTACAAAAGTATACTTTACATAAAGTGGAGCATTTCACAGACGTCATGCATGTACAACAAAAGCTAACACATACAGTGGAGTAAGTTCGCTACGGCCAGGGGCAAGACTGTTCTGAGAAATTTTAGGTGACTTAATAATAATTTATGCAACTAAAATATAATTTAGAACAAGAACAGTGTATCTCATTTGCACATACTGATTTTTAAACACCTTAATTGTGGTTCAAAAACACATTAATATTTGTATTGTTGCTGTAGAGCTATCAGAGTGTCCTCTGTGTGTAAATGTGTCTGTGCCAGTGTCCTATGTGTGTAACTATTAAGTGTGTATTATATTTTTATTTTGTGACTTTTATACTTCAGAATTATAGTTCATACATTCATGCTTACATGCACAATATTCTGTCATATTTATTTTAAAAATATTCTTTACTAACTTTTATCAGGTTTGTTCAGCAATATTGGATTAACTTAAATATTAGTGTCTACACAATTAATTTGGAATATAAATCAATAGAAATTACTTTCTCGAGTCAGGGGTACTTGTTTTAAACCTGCAGGAGTACTTATGTGTAAAATGTTGAGAAGTATTTTGCTAGGGCATCTACAGAGAAAAGCCTTCCAAGTGCATACCTGTTAGCGCTTTCCTTCAGTAGTACCAAGTATACTCTGGGGTTAATTGAATTTACATTGTATGCATGTGCAGCCAGACATGGCATGAATATTAAAAAAATAAATAGGAGAGAGATTTTTAAAAAAAATATAAAGTGCAATTGGGTTGATCAAAATCCAACTGGTGGCAGATACTCTTTAAAGAAATTACTTCAAGCATCATAACTACCTTAGTGATTTTAAGTGGTCATGGTGCTTAGAGTCTATTTGCACAGCATTTCGCTGTGAAGAGCTGCATGCAAACCCTTTGCTGACAGAGATGTAAGGTCTCCTGCCTGAAATTGGCAATTTTGGCACACACATCATTCCTAACCTGTTTAATGTGAACATACAGCTTAGTGTTCTATGTTAAATTTTTGCCAGGTGGGTTACCTTTCAGTGCCCAGTTTCCTGACCGTTTATAGTAGTCTTATCTTCATCTAAATGCACATTTTAAGGTCTAGTGATATTCAGGCTAAATATTACTCTGCACCATAGGCGTGCACAGCCTATTGCATTAGGGTGTGCACCCTAAAGCACAAATACACGCCGCATGTATATACACACACACACACATACATACACTGCTGTTTGTGTGTGTGTATGTGTGCTGTTAGTGTGCTGTGTGAAGGTGCTGTTAGTGTGCTGTGTGTGAGGGTGCTGTTAGTGTGCTGTGTGTGAGGGTGCTGGTAGTGTGCTGTGTGTGAGGGTGTTTGTGTATGTGTGTTAGGGTCCTGTTAGTGTGCTGTGTGAGGGTGCTGTGTGTGTGAGGGTGCTGTGTGTGTGTAAGGGTGGTGTTTGTGTCGTGTATTTGTGAGGGTGCTGTTAGTTTGCTGTGTGGGTGTGCTGTTTGTGTGAGGGTGATGTGTGTGTTTGTGAGGGTGCTGTTAGTGTGCTGTGTGTGAGGGTGTTATGTGTTTGTAAGGGTGCTGTGTGCGTGTGTTTTTGAGTGTGCTGTTAGTGTACTGTGTATGTGAGCGTGCTGTGTGTGTGTGTGGATGCTCTGTGTGTGAGGGTGCTGTATGTGTGCTGTGTGTGTGAGGGTGCTGTGTGCGCGCGCTGTTTGTGTTAGGGTACTGTATGTGTGTAGGTGCTGTGTGTGTGGGTGCTGTATGTGTGTGTGTGTGCTGTATGTTTGGTGGGATTGTGAAGGTGAGGGCAGATTAGTAAATATCCACCCTCCCTTCTTACCTTCTTACCTTGTAGGGAGGGGGGATCCTTGCTGCCATGTGCCATCCCTGGTGGTCCAGTGGAGAGTGAACTCTAGCCTATAAGGCTAGAGTTCACGCTCACAGGCCTGAGCGTTGCCGTGGCAACAATCAGATCTCGCGAGAGGAACCTGGCGGAGCTTCTGTCTAGAGCTCCCTGTGTCCTCTCCTGCCTGCCTCCATGCTGCTGTGGGCCAGTGAGGTAGATCTTTGATCTCCCCTCCGGCACATGGAGGCTTAGAGCAGAGCCGGCACTCAGATAGCGCCAGCTCTGCATGAGCCGACAGGAGAGATCCGGAGATCTCCCCTGCCGGCAGGGGTCAAGTCCTGGGGAATAAAGTGTGGGAACTCTCCCAAGATTCCCACCCCCCCAAAAAAATAATATACACTCGTGTATATATATATCGATATATATATACACGTGCACAAACACACTGACACACATACACAGACACACACATACACTCACAGACACACACATACTCAGACACACACACATACATTCACAGACACACATACTCACACACTTTCAGACACACATACAGACACACACACATACATTCACACACACTTACAGACACACACACATACATTCACAGACACACATACACACTCACAGACACACACACTTACAGACACACACACACATACTCAGACACGCACACTTACAGACACACACACATATTCACAGACACACACACATACTCAGACACACACACTCACAGACACACACACGTACACTGACACACATACACACTCACACACACATACACTCACAGACACACACATACTCAGACATACACACACACACTTACAGACACACACACATTCACAGACACACACTGTAGCGGAGAGGTAGTATAATCCACGATATCTCCGCTGGGTAACAGGAACAGCATAAACTAATCCAGGTAAATAAATACAGCATACAATAATCCCGGTAGCGTTGTAAGAATCCTTCCTTCCCAAGAACTAGACGACACATAGGCTGGGAGTCAACTGAGCTTTTAATCACAGGTCACCGTATTTATGGGATTCCCCATGCAAGGGGTTTCCTTACTGACATTCCAAGGGTTGTACAGTAGGGGACTACATGGGGAATTTAACAACCTGGACATTTCTCCCACCATGCACTGCTGGACAAGAGGGACACTCCCACTAGAATAAGTGGATTATCCCTCCGTCCAGCAGAACTGACATTTTACATAAAAATATATAACTTCCATACTATTCACGTTATTTTACCGAATGACCAGCAGATAGCTGGGGTCTGAGCACACTTTTCGTGAAAGTACCGCTCAGATCCCAGCATAAATAACTGAACACTGCATGAAAATACATATTAATTTATATTCACCTTAAAATACCGAATGCATATAGGGGAACAAACTACCGAAGGACCGGTGCTCCTGAACGGCCTGGAAGTCCAGCGGTATTCGTGCCGTCGAGTTGCCGATTTTAGTTCCAGGCGCTCGACGACCAAATACCGCTGGGCTAACAAAGGATCCAATATGGCCGACTGCCGCGCGGTCAGTAGCTGAACGACGGCCACCCTGAAACCCAATAATCACCGAAGGAAACATTGTTGCAATCTCTAATGGGAGAAACACGACCTCCTGTGTGTGGTCTCCCATTCAGTAGTTAGTTCGTTTCACGAACAGTGTTGAAATACACTGTTCGTGAGACTATTGTATGAATGCTGGTGTCTTTCCCGCCGCACAGCATACGAATGCTCTCGTTCGCACAATATACACATACAGGTATCAACTTGGTTCTAACAGTCTTTTTTAATTAAAAAATGTCCACCCAGCCTCCTTACCTGGACAGCTGGCGTGGACATGTTCCTGGGGTCCAGTGGGTCAGGCGCCTGTCTCCATATCAGACACGGCGAGGGAGCTGTGTGCTCTCTGCTCCCTCTCGCCGCGCGGGCTGTCTGCTGTAGCTTGGAGCCGGAATATGACGTCATATTCCGGCTCCCGGCATCAGTAAACGGTGTGCGGCGAGAGGGAGCAGAGAGGACACAGCTCCCTTGCCGCGTCTTATATGAAGACAGGCGCCCGACGGGGGGGAGGGGGAGGGGGCGGGGTGGTGTAATCACCAAATCAATATATATATTAATGTGGTGATTTACCACATTTGGCGACCACGAATTTTAACGAAGGTTATTTTTGAGTTAATAACACATTAATAGATAGTCAGATTTATTTTTGGGGAGGGAGGGAAAAGAGTACATTTTTAATTATCCTCTGCATGGGAAATCAAGGGCTGATTGTGTTTGGAGTCTAGTGCAGACCTCCATTTTAATATACCAGCTTAGGCCTCAGGCCTCAATTTTGAATATATTATTACAGTTTTTTTGTGTGTTTCAAATATCTGAGTTTGTTGTGTATGATCGACTATCATACTTAAGGCCTAGTAGTTCTAACTTATTTTGCTACATAAAACAAAGATATAATACAGGTTGTTTTTGTGGGTTTCAAATATCTGAGTTTAGTTTTGTTGTGTTTTGACTATCAGAGTAAAGGCCTAGCCCTGCATTTTAATACACTATAGTAGGCTTCCATGCGGCTTCTTTTTGTATTTGAATGCTGATTTGATTCGTTTGTATCCTGTGCAGACCTCCATTTTTAAATACCAGCTTAGGTATCAGGCCTCGATTTGAATATATTAATAGTTTTTTTGTGTGTGTTTTAAATATCTGAGTTTGTTGTGTTTTGACTACCATATTTCAGGTTCAGGCCTAGTAGTTTTTCAGGCCTTCATTTTTTTTAAAATTTCAAATATACTACCAGCAGAGGCCTTAATTTTGAATATATTTGCTACATAAAACAAA